CATTGAGTGTCAAACTTCTCAATGCAGTGGAAATGTCGGCGCAAGAAGCAGCATGGTATTTGTTACGACAGCCGATGAGCGAAGCAAGCCGTCAAATTGTGTACATACCAACAGAGTGGCCCTCAGAAAGACAACGTTGCCGCAAACGTCGGAAACAATTGGATCGCGAAGGAATCGCAGAGGACAGCACAGACGTGTGGACCAAAAACATCATTCAGCGCTATGAAGAAAGACCTCCATCTTTGCAAGATGTATATTTGGCCGAGTTCGCGTCGTGGTTCGCTAACTCTCGTGATTTCTTTGACAATGAAGACGACTTGAACGTGCATGAAGATGACGATCCTGAACCGCCGACTGGAGAAAGAACGACATCGAGAGGATATCGCAAACGTCTGATCGGTCGAATCATACGATACAGATGCTACGACATAGATGAAACTGTCAATTATCAACGTGAGATGGTACTGCTGTACTTGCCCTTTCGCAACGAAGTCGCTGACATTGTTGATTGTAATAAATTTATACAATTATTCAATGACAACAAGGAAACTATCATGGAACGCAGGAAACTTTATGAGAACAATATTGACATCGACAAAGTGATGCAAGAGCTAGAAGCAATGATGATTTTGCAAAATTCAGACACCACAGAACCAACGGAAACAGAGTCAAGAAGAGTGCTTGTATAACAGCTGTTAGGAGGAGAGGGAGCTGAAAATAACGATGATGTTAATGAAATCGTGCCGCAAAACGGATTGTCAGTTGTAAAAAAAAATTGGTTGCCTGTAAAGTCGGTATACGGGCGAAAGTTTTACGTGACAACGACTTTGAGTGGTAAAATAATTTTAATGTGAATATTCATTCGTATAGTAGGAAGGAGGATGAGATAATAGTAACAATTTAAAACATTAATTTATACAAAGAATCTCGCACTGAATTTCATATAAACAAAATTTTATTTTTACCTTTACACATACATACGTATTTATATACAAATATACATACAATAACTTGCAATACATTTGCGTACAATGAAACAGCGTTTACTACAACTTAACTTGTTCCTATCTGGGTGATTTTGTTGAGGATAGGGCGATGATAGGAGAAATATGAAATGAAAGGAAGTGTTTCTGCTGTAATGTGCCTAGAAAATGTCAAGTCAATGGTTAATGAATTTGAAAAACTTGTCTTTAGACTTCACGTTTTGGTTGAAGCCGCCGCATAGAAGAATCGGCATATTAGGATCAACTTGCAGGAACGGTGGCACGTACTGGCTGTTATGCACGTATGGAAGAAGTGCCTGGTGTAGCAAAATTCCGATGTCTTGTACACTTGATCCTGGATGAATATAAACAGCAGTGTCTGTGACCGCGACATCGATCACTTTTCCTGTTGATATTGATGACAACCTACGATAGATCGCTACTCCACCTGTTGCGTTGGTGTCTGAGTTTGTTCGATTATTCTTCCTTGATATGCACTCATAATTCTTGATTGGATGTGGTTCACAAGTGTCGCGCATCCTCGTTTCGGTCAGTACTAAATAGTCAGATCTTGGAATCACTGTATCTGTTTCAATGTCTGTGGCATGAGCACTCAAACTTTGACAATTGACGTTCGTCACGATAGTTTGTCCAGCACCGGTAGCATCGTCACAGAAATTGACTGCCTTTTTAGTGGTGGTTTGCAAAGTGTGTCCTTGGAGTCGAATATATTCAGTGCGAATATCTCGTGTAGTTTGTGAGCCGTTTCCTTCGCGCCCATGTTTGAAAATCAAAGGAGAGTCCTTCTCCGTGATGATATGCAATCCGTTGATACTCGTTACGCGGCTCATGGCTACATATACTGATTGTTGTGGTTGCTTGGAGGAGTACTTATACACGATTACATCAAACGTCCCACCTTGTGATTTGTGAATCGTAATGGCACAAGCAGGTATGGTTGGAAGCGACGAGGCTGGCCGTAGTATATTGCAGGAAATGATAGTTCTTCAGCATGACGGTCGTACATGATGTTCAGAGGCATGGCCCGATGTCCTGGTGCGATGTCGAGGCAATCCTCTTCGTTCCACAGTAGTGTATGCTGCCTGGAAGCAAGAACTTCTGACTCCGGAGTACACTCGGCGGCGATTGTTTCGATTCGATGAGCCGAGTCATCCTGCAAATCTTCCTCTGGTGGCACGACAGTTTGCAGCCTTGACAAATCTACTTTGATATCGTACAAGCGATATAGACTTGAATTTTGAAGTACATCCAACCATTCTTTGATTGTCCTTTTGGACATGTAGCCGCTGATGTAATTTGTTTTGTGTGCGAGATTCCGTTTGATGTTGACATTAATGACGTCGTCCTCATCTAAATGCCGGGGCAAGCATTTTACCATGTCTTCTACGTTGACTGGAACGTTGATCACTTGACCAATAATTCCATAAGAGAAGTCATGCCGCAGACGACGCACTTGCATGAATGGCAGACGTGGTGAGATTAATCGTTCACTAATTGGATCCAGTGGCGGTAAGCCAGGAGGTATTTCTGGATATGAGAAGCCATTCACTTTTGCAAGGGCAGGAAGCTTATGTTTGTTCAGCGACAATCTACAGGTGTTGCAAATATGCGTATAATCCTCCTCGCGTAGTTGCCTATTTTCCTTAACGAACCAATCCGATATGACCTGTAGTTGTGCAGCAGTGATGATTTTAAGGTCATTCTTGAACCACAATCGGTCGCAAACAGAGCAAGCGTGGCCAAATTCGTTGTCCAGAAATGTAGTTTTAAACCTCTTTATTGACGACGACCATTTGCTATTCCAGGTTGATTGTTCCGGTTGCACTGCTGTGTGAGTCGGTGGAGTACTTATTTGTGAAACAATTTGAGCAGCTCTACGCTGTCTGTAAGCACGTTGTCGCTGAGCGCTGGTCTGGGCAGTAACTGTTCTTTCCACTACCACAGGAGCAGACTCTGTGGCTGACTCTAGCGTGCCGGTGTCAAGAGCTGACTTGGCGAGTCTACGTTGCTTGCATCTACGTTGTCTTTCGGCGGCTGCTTTTGCAAAATCTGCTGCCTCTGCTGGAGTTCTTTCCGCGGCCTTACGTTTTCTATACATACTTTGTCGTCGCGCTTTGCCGTTATGGGGTGTGTGTGGCACAGCGAAAGGTATGGCAGACGTTGGTGGCACGATATCATCAGTCTCCATCGGTGTACTGGACGTTGAAGGAATTTGTACATCTGGCTCCATTGTACTAAAATTGAACAAATTAGAAATTATTGTTTCTCATATTTTTAAATGCTTTCAAATACAGTGTAAACTCTTTATAACATCATTCTTTATAACGATAAACTCTCTATAACATAGAAAAGATCACAATTTGGTTGGTTTACCTTAAAACCCATACATTGATACACTCCTTATAGCGCAGCAGCCATCTCTATTACGAAGAAATGTGTTTATATTTAGACACACAGACAGATTTTCGGAAAAAAGGAAAAAAAAATGTTGGTTAAAAGTATCCTATGTCGGTCTCCTGGCTCTAAGCTACCCTACCAATTTTCAGCCAAATCTATTCTGCCGTTCTTGAGTTATAAGTGGTGTAACTAACACGACTTTCTTTTATATACATATATAGATTCTTTGTATAAATTAATGTTTTAAATTGTTACTATTATTTCATCCTTCTTCCTACTATACGAATGAATATTCACATTAAAATTATTTTACCACTCAAAGTCGTTGTCACGTAAAACTTTCGCCCGTATACCGACTTTACAGGCAACCAATTTTTTTCATTATTATTAAACTATTTTAAGAGTTATCATAACAAATCTGCTCAATATACCGGGTGTTTTTTTATCTGTCCGAAATTCATTATTGGACTGAACCCCGTTTGATTGTCGTTAGGAAAAACTTCTATTTCAAATCGCCAAATATTTTTAAAGGATACATGATTTTTTTAAAAAAACGGTTATTCACCAACTGTATTGATACAATACTGATATGGCCTTTTAATATATTTGACTAGGTTTTTTTCGGAAGATATTTTTTAGAAGCAAAAATAAAAAAAAAACAAGATATGTTTTTTGTGGTATTTTAATTAGAATGAAACTAAACCACTACACGCTTAAATGCTCAAAGCAACTGAAATTGAAATACAAAATAAAAAAAGTCACCTCGTGTAGCATTATTTTGAGCACTGTACATTATGAAGACAACTAGATATAATAATAATATTAAAACGTCTACACATTAATTTGATGTCAGCTATCTTCCTGTACTCTAATGTAGGAAGTAACTTGTTCTATTAAGATTTATTCGTCGCCACAAACACACGGTATTTTGGCAGATTATTGCTGCAATGATGAAAGGTGTTACTATTTTTTTATTATAATAATAACTAAAATACACGCAAATATGATTTCTTTTTCTTTTTAACGGTTTAGAAAAGAAATTATGAAACATAGCATTTCACGCCTTTTCTCTTGAAAGCATTTTAAAGGAGACCAAATACATATAACAACTAAACCACAAACAAAATTGAGAAAATAACAAAAAGTACTGTTTTGTCTCAATTTGAAATGATATGTTCTCTGAATCTGTTGTAACCCTTATCGACGATATTACGATTAGGTTTATTCATTGATAAACAATATAATTCTTATGTTCATCGTTCTTTTTAAAATTGGTAGAATATAAATACAAACTTCATTAATAGTTCCAAATTCATCACACAACCATGTCGTGTGAGTGTGATGAATGCCTCAAGTTAACGCTTAAAATATTGATACAAAACTATAAATGATTATAGCATGACCTCTATGTATTCAACTTTAGGGGCAGATAAATAAATAACCTTATAAAAAAATCCAGTATGAGTGCATACAACTAACTAAGCATGATACACATGTGTTAATCTTAAGCAAGTCCTTAAATCATTGCAGTCATACTCAAGCCGCACATTATACACCCAGGTAAAGAATAACGTTGCTAATATAGTACCTATATTACAGTGTACCCCCACAAGTGACTGGAACAATGAATGGCCACTCAACCTCTCACTCCGTGGACAATCGCAAAAGGCTTACTCCAATACCCGACATCAATATAACTGGCAACCATACGCCGTATAAGGTAAGAACCGCCATACCGCCACACAAGTTATTAAATATTAAACTGTTGAAGCAACCCAGTTTTATTAGAGTACTTTAAGTGAATGTTAAAATATTGTGTAGGTAGGTTTGGCTACTGTACTCTATACATTTTATTTCCTCCTGCGTCAAAGTAGTTAATCTATTAAGAGTTACTGCTGATCATCGTACTCGGTTAATGGCCAGACAGAAAGTTAACATATTTATTTATGTTGTATTTCGTTATTCTCAGGTTCAGAAAGCGTTGGTGGAGAATACTATGGTACCCTGCATCAACGCGAAACCCTACCAGTACACGGAGCTGCTTATGACCCTGCCAGACCTGGCCAGCCACTTCTTCCCACGAGTCTCTCTCAGCACGTGCCGCGCTATGCTCGACGCGCTTGGGATTACCCTCTACAGACCTAACACGTAAGTTTCTTTTTAATTAACTCATCTAACTGTAAACTTTGTAAACCATTAAGCCCAAGTAAGACTTCGTCTAGATCGTCACCTACCAATCGTATTTTTTATGGAGACCAACATTGTTTAAACTTGAATCATTTGGCTGTCTAGGATCTTTCAATCTAGAATAGAAAAATACTGTAAATTGGAGTGACCTAAAACAACATAATGTGTATTACAGGACTCAGGTGCAAGTCCTCCGCAACTCGGGCAAGTGCAAGACTGCAGCGGCGGGTGAGAACGGCCAGGCGCTCGTACAGATCCGTGACGTCATGCAACACATGCTGCAGTTCAAGTACATGCTGCGGTCGGGGCTGGCGGCCGACGAGACGCCGCTGTCGCAGCCCAGGCCCGCGCACGCGCCGCCGCCGCCCGCCAAGCGCGCGCGCGCCAACTGACCGCCGTCACCCCCGCCCGCCGCACCGCCCGCGCCGCGAATGCTGCGCAAGCTCGCGCCCGACCTAGTGCCCGACTGGGTCAAGCAGAGAGCGAGAATGCTCGACCTCATGCAAGCTCAGTAGGCAGTAACACCCACAAATCTAGTGCCGCCGACGCCCACCTTCTGCGGAAGCGAGGACTCCATTATACAATTGTGCAACATATCCCGAGAACAATTCAAAGTTTTAATCTCTCTGAGAACCAATTCTATTTATTATCCAAACAATTCATAAACATTTTGACAACAGTTTCAGTATGGTAAAAGCATATACATATTTGTACCAAGGGACCAGAGGAACCTGAATCTGTGCTCGAGTTAGAAGTATACTTAATTAAATATGTAAAATGAAAACATTGAACCAGTTAGCCAGTATTGATGCTAACTACCTCAATTTAGTAAATGCAGTGATAAAGTGAATGTGTGATACAAGACGTGAGATTACCGTGGAACATTGTATGAGCAGTGTAGTGAGACAGTTTAGAACATTGTACAGAGTGACAATAAACAGGAATGTAAAGTTGGCTGCAAGCTGACTTAGGGTCTTAGCCAGTGACTGTGTCTGCAATTTAGACTGTTCGAGTATCAAAAGACGTTATATGCGCATGGGACTTGTCAATTTTTCCCTAGCTTGTACAAACTGTATCATACTATATTTGTAAATCGAAAGATCTAATTTATAGCAATCTATTTGTACTATTCAATAGAGAAGACTGAGAATTTTATTTTTTAATAATTTCCTAAAAAACAAAAGCTATAGACATGTTGTGAACGTTTAGTTTTAGTTTAGTCGAGTTTTTGTGAAGAGTGTTTTGGTATGAGTTTTAAGTTAATTTGTATGTTGATTTTATGTATACGAAATGTAAATACTTCCCTGCATTTATGCAGTAAATGTTGTTTTAGCAATACAGTAATATATTATGCATAAATAATACTTAAAATTTTAGTGTAACACTGAAAAAGTAAGGGTTATTTGAATCATATAAAGTATTGCTTAAATTACATATTCAGAAGCTTTTTAAATTATCATCACAAGTAAAATGTTAACTTCACAAAATTTGTCACATTTTATATGAGTAATAATGTGAGATGCCAAGTAATTATAGAGTTAAGAAAGGCATGACAAGTATGTAAGATAATGAAGGGTGGCAAATATGTATATTAGAGGAAATTCCTAGCTAGTTACGACCATGCGTCGAATTTTCTTTAAGAAAATGGCAATATTTAACCCGCCAGGAACAAAAGTAAGTTGCCTTGTTGGATGCACAAATCTTAATCATTTATATTTTAAGTAGCTTAATGATGAAAGGGCTTTGTAAATGTTTCACCAAATCCAGCCACATTTATTGTTTTGTAATAATAACTCGCTGTGGGACATGTGGATCTCCTTGGAACATGTAATTATAGCAACAAGTCATAAAGGGAATCTCATGTTCTACAGAATGATGTCAACAGGTGGATATATATGTATTAATTAAGTATTAAATCCCCATAAAGGCACGCAATAATAATATTATTACTATTATATTAAGGTAGGCAGTGTATAGTGTATGTCTAATTGGCCTGGATTTGGTTAAGAAATATGAGTTCCTTTTGTCAATCACTTGTAATCCATTGTATTCAGTTCTGTGGGTAGAGTGGGGTTCCTGGCTTTTCCAGTGAATGTAACATTACTTCATTATAATCCTAGCTTTCCAATAGGAAATGTGTCGATCCTACCTACATGGGGTTTGAGATGCGAAAACATGTTCTGTATTGTTCTAATTTTAATTGCGCATTTTATATACATACTTTTTTGTAAGTATGGAAATGATCAAATGACTTCTCCCGCGCTGGGCGGGACGGGAGGAAGTGTCAGACTCTTACTGACTAAAAGGCACAGACCGGGGTCACGCTCGCGACTCCGATTTAGATAATTATGATTATACTTACAATGACATTTTTAATTAATTTATATGAATGCTGCAATTGATTTAAGTCAAAACGAATGTTTTTCGTGCAATACAATAAGACCCAAATTGTCGAGTAATATGATGGGATTTCATCTAAGCTATTTCTTATATTATTCTTCTGTTAATCTTCTGTTATTCTTTTATTTATTGTATACACACCACAGCGATATAATCGCAATAAAACAGAGATATATTTTTCTTTATATTAAGTTGAAATTAATTTAGAGAAATTATATGAAAATAAAACTTTCCAGTAAAACTGAAATATTATCGTAATAGTTTCTACTGTAGTCTATGTTTTCGTTTTAATCCAAGTGTCCTACAAAAAGAACTGATAGGTATATTTTACAAGTTGAAGCTAATGAAATCCCATGCATCTATGCGCATTGCTATTGTGAAATGTTTTAACTTCCATAATCATAGTAAAATAACATACTTGTATTATTTCGGTGCAATGGTAATAGATTGGTTTTCATGAGACTTGATATTGTGCATAAGGTTTTGTTATGCATTTACAATTTATAACCACATACATTCTATTATATCAATGGTATAGTAATAATAACTATAAGACTTATAATGCTTCCAATTTATAGTTATTTAAGTAGATACATAATTCAAATTGACAGAGCACATTCAAATAATGAGATTGTATCTCATTGTTTTCATATGTGAATTGCATTTCATTACTATACAATTTTTCATGTTAATAAATTGTGCGTTTTTAAATCAATTTGTATTGTATTTTTATAAAGAATGCTCGTATATCAAGTTTCGTGTGAACAGTAGAGGGGATAACACTTAGGCCTTGGTAGTTGTGAAGGATGCTAGAGTAGTACCTTTTTAAATACCTAGTATAATGTAAACGCAGAGCTGTGTAAATTTATGCTAAATTATTTATGAATAGCTGTAAGTAAGGCGTGGTCTAATGATGTATCAGTTGTACTCGGACCACTGTAGCTCGCTGTACAGCGTTTGTGGTGATCCTGTAATAAAAAAAATAAAAGATACTTTATAATGAACTTCTGTGTTTGATTTGGTGGTTGAAAGGAGACCTTCCAACAAATATATTACTTTTTAGGACCTATGAATTTTTACTGACTGCCTCGTTGGCCTAGTAATCGCAAGTGCGACTGCCAGGCAAGGGGTCTCGGGTTCGATACCCGGGCGGGCAAGGTATAGGGGTTTTTAAAAAATTCTCAGTAGTAGCTCAGAGTCTGGAATTGTGCCCGGTATTTAGAAATATGGTTCACTCCCTATTACATGGGACCCTTGGGACTCGTAACATAAATAGTGAAAAGTGGGTGTTACATTGTAGTTACACTGTACAGTGGTATAATGTACACCTCTGCCTACCCCGTCGGGGATAACAGGCGTGAGTTATGTTATGAATTTCAACTTTTATTCTGATCCTATTTCGGTTGTTAGCAAAAGACTTGATTTGATTCTGTGATGTCTTCGGGTTCTAAAGCAACGTCGCTTTGACTGACTGCTGCCTATCTTGTGACGAACGAAGTCGTGATGGTCGTGACGTTATGATGACGTTACCTATATGGAATTTTTTTATTTTTGAGTTATTTAAAAAAAAAATGAAAATTGTAATGAAATGATAATTGTAATATTATCCTTATCCTTACTTCCTTACTAATATTATAAATCGAAAAGTGAGTTTGTTTGTTTGTTCCGCCTTCACGCCGTAACTACTAAACCGATTGCTTTGTAAATTTTGCAGACGTAAAGTTAGAAGTCTGGATTAAATAATACGGTACCTACTTTTTATCCCGAAAAAATTTGATATTCTCGAGGGAAAATGAAATTATTGGTATAGATGGCGCTGTGTGTATTGGTATATGTCACATAGCCTACTTTTTATCCTTTTGTGATGCAAAATAATTATCATGTATCTTTCATGGCTTCATAGAAATTAATGTTGAGCTAAAAAAGTCAACGACAATGTTGCAGGTTGGCAACTTTAATTCGAAAAAAACAACTGTCAAGTTTATGAAGTCAAGCAACAAGCAAAATGGAGGAAATATGGGAAAATGCTTGTAAAAGTGAAAATAATTGAAGTTTCGGTTTAGAAAACACGATTGTGAAAATTCTGACTGTGTGCCCTTCGAAGAAATTGCTATGGAGGCTTATGCTGGACTTAATTTTGGTCATTTCTCATTGTATTAGATCTAATAGTTATAAGTTGTTCAATTAAACGATTTTTGATGTATTTACGTAGATTTATAAACTGGAGACTATCTTTTCATCATTTCATTGTAATTAATTTTATTTATTTTCATTGTTGATGTCCATTTTATTAGGTTAGGTTTAGGTCGATTTAGGTTGTAACAATGAACATACAAGTCTGCAGAGATTCCTCAGACGCTACGGCTCTGTATTTGCCGCAGCGTTTGTATCTTAAATCCTTTGCAAAGATTAATATTTCTGTCCAGCTCCCCTCCCACAAGGTACACGGCAAGTCAATATCAAACTGGGAACTTATGGAGAAGTTGCGAAAGATGATCCTCCCTGATAATTTTTCCGTGTTAAAAGTGTCAAAGCATAGTTCGGAAGTGATAAGATTTGATGCGGAACTAGAGAATCGTGATAATCTCGAGAGAGTGTTGGCGAGACTCGAGGACCGCGTGATTCAGTTAAAGGAGTACCCTGACCAGCTGAAAGTCAAGGTCTGTGAAGCCAAGTCTGAGTTTCCTAGTCGTCATGATTGGGATTCGTTCTTTCGAGATACTACAGAAATGGATGAAATGAAGCCTGGAGAGCGTCCAGACACCATCCATATATCCAACCTGCCGATCAGATGGTTTATACATAGTAGAGACCAAGACGAGGATGCCCTGCCTTCAGAGAGTTTTGTGAAGAAAATATTTGAAAAGTTTGGTTCAGTGCGACAAGTGGACATTCCAGTGTCTGATCCATATCGGATGCAAATGAAGGCAACTATGAGGGGTATAACAACCCCTCCACAGGAGGCTGCCCTGTATTTTGAGATCTATGTACAGTTCAGTGAATATGTTGGCTTTGTTCGCTGCATGGATGCATTAAGAGGTCGAAAACTTCTACGGAAGAGAGATGACATTGCAGAGTGGTGTGGCATTAAAGTGGAATTTGATAAAACTAAACATATGACTGATGCAGCTGTCAAGCGGAGATCTATAGTCCGTGAGAGGCTGGCTTCACGTCAGAAAGTTAAAGATGATGAAGAAAGGGCAGAGAAAGAAAGAATAGCCAAAAAAGAGGTGAAAGAAAGGTAAATTTTACTAAAATTAACTCATTAACTGTAATGTAGGTCACCAGTGACATTACGGAGGATTGGCCTTCAACAGTTTTCTGTTGGCAGTCAAAGCCTAAACTTCCCATCTTTGTTATTATACTGGCCGAATTTTGTAGTAAACGATTATGAATATATCAACAAAATTATAAAATTTTTGTATTAATTTAATGTACAAATTACAAATTAATTTTCAGGCAAAAGTATGAGCGTTCAGAGAGAGAAAAGCTAGAAAAAATGAGAGAAAGAGAAGAGAGACGCAAGAAGAAACAGTTGGCTAAACTAATGCAGAGTGATAACCTGGACCTCAACAGTAAAGTTGCTGAGGAGCAGAGGAAACTTGTTAAAACCCAGAAGAAGTTGCAGGCCATCCGGCTCATTGAAGAACTGTTTAAGAGGATTGAGGTTAGTCCCTAGAGTTACAACTATGTCACACTGGTATAGATTAGTTTCAATGGTCCTATTTGGTTGCTAAAACACATAACATAACATAACATCACGCCTTTTATCCTCGATGGGGTAGGCAGAGGTGCACATTATACCACTGTACAATGTAACACCCACTTTTCACTATTTATGTTATGAGTCCCATGTAATAGGGGGTGAGCCTATTGCCATATACCGGGCACAGTTCCAGACTCCGTGCTACTACTGAGAATTTTTTAAAAACCCAGTAATACTTTGCCCGACCCGGGAATCGAACCCGAGACCCCTTACCCGGCAGTCGCAATTGCGACCACTCGGCCAACGAGGCAGTCAAAAGTATTGTCAAAAGGTTGCTAAAAGTATGCCTGTAATAACAGATTGCATTGGTGTGTCCTAGTCGAGTGTGAAGCAAACACTGTCATACCATCCTTTATTGAAACAATGTGTTGCCATTACTTGTTATGACAAACTTAAACTAAATATTATGGTTTTTTCTAACAGGTGGCCCTTATTTTTATTAATTTTAAATATAATATTTTGAACATAAATTCTAGCAGCTTATATCTAATTATTGATTTTGTGACTGCACGGTTGGTGCGGTGGCTGAGCAACCGGCTGCCGTGCAACGTGTCGCGGGTTCGATTCCCGCACCGAACAACACTTTGTGTGATCCACAAATTGTTGTTTCGGGTCTGGGTGTCATTGTGTATGTGAACTTGTATGTTTGTAAACGCACCCACGACACAGGAGAAAATCATAATGTGGGGCAACGTTAAAAAATATACGGGAGAAAGTTTTACGTGACAACGACTTTGAGTGGTAAAATAATTTGCCTATCTCTCTCACTCTCTCTCTCTCTCTGTCTCTCTCGCTCTTAGGCGGGCTAACTGTGCTCGAGTGGAAGGGACGCGTGCCTTTCACTTTTTATGTCTGTCTCTCTCGCTCTTAGGCGGGCTAACCATGCCCGAGTGGAAGGGACGCGTGCCTCTCACTCGCTCTCATTGTGAGCGCATATTAACGTGAGCGGAGCGTAACGCAGTTTCTTGAAGTGTCACCCGGCAAACCAATCTATAAAACGTTGTCACGTCAAAAAAAATTGAAATGAATCTTTGCAATCCCCAGTTGCGACCAGAGCTTCAACGCAATGGTAACCGTGAGCAGCACTACTTGCCGGGCGAGAGGAATGCGCGCGCGCGGATCATTGACAAGTTCAAGCGACAACAACAAGACCTGCTGGACGAACAGAGGCAGAACTACAGTAACGCTTTGAATGGTCAGTGTACTTGTTTTTATTTTAATTTCAATCGGTACCAATATTTTATTATTATTATTAGTTAGAAGATATGCACTGTTGAACAAAAGCCCTCCCTAAAAGGAAATAAATAGACTGTTGATTTAACGAAATGGTTTTTATTAGAGACTAGCTTTTACCCAAGGCTTCGCTCGCGTCACCAAAGGATAAAAAGTAGCCTATGTGACATACTTATACCAATACACACAGCGCCGTCTATACCAATAATTTCGTTTTCCCTCGAGAATATCAAAATTTTCTGGGATAAAAAGTACCCTATTATTTAATCCAGACTTCTAACTTCACGTTTGCCAAAATTCAAAGCAATCAGTTTAGTAGTTACGGCGTGAAAGTGGAACAAACAAACAAACTCACTTTCCGATTTATAATATTAGTAAGGATGAATTTTCATGGTTTCAGATTCCGATTCATACTTTAGTTAATAGATTTTTCTGCTTTCAAATTATTTGAAAATTACTGTATCTTATGTCCTTATCCAGAATTTAAAACTGATTTGTATCATTCCAGGTCGCATAGTAATTCGATCGGTGCTTGAAACAAAGAAGCCTAAACGGGACTCTTCAATGAGCTCTGTATCATCAGACGAGCGCGCCAGACGCTGTGATAGGGATAACCATAAGAAAATTAAAACAGAAAGACTGACCACACCGGAGCGAGAGATGGAGTACAATAAGGCTACAGGTGAGAATTCTACTTAATTAATAGTAGTCCATGAAAGGCTAGACAGATGTGTGTGTAGTTAATTGTTTAAAGAGGTGTTGTGGGCCATGAGTAACTTTCATCATGAAATAAATATATACTTAGATCACTCATTTCTCGCCAGGTATACTTTCCTCGACAACCAGTTACGCCGAAAAACATAACAATTAAGTTGTAATTTCGGTAATACATTAGTAATTCTTCCGATTATTTATGACGACACGGTTGGTGCTGTAGCTGGGCACCCGGCTGCCGCGCAACGCGTCGCGGGTTCGATTCCCGCACGGAGCAACTGTTTGTGTGATCCACAAATTGTTGTTTCGGGTCTGAGTGTCATGTGTATGTGAACTTGTATGTTTATTAACGCAACCACGACACAGGAGAAAATCCTAGTGTGGGGCAACGTTTATTTAAAAGAAAAATAGAAGATTATAACTTACAACTGTGTCTATGGGTGCTGATGACGTAATTTGTTTATTTTTACCGACTTCATTTCGTCACTTATGTCATGTTAAAACAGTAAACTTACAAAAAAAAAAACGATAATTCTAGTGGGGGCAATGTTTATGGCGTTAGTATTTAAATAAAAATTTGTTACAACTGTATTATTTTATTTATTTGTTCCAGCTGCGAGTTTGTACAGTATGCAGCCGTATGGTTTCGGCTACCCGTTCCCCTGTCCGCCCAGCTACGCCTACCCGCCGCAAAGTATGAGTATCTTTTATTTTTTAAGTATATTATGTCGGAATGCCTCGTTGGCCGAGTGGTCGCAAGTGACTGCCGGGCTCGGGCCGGATCTCGGGTTCGATTTCCGGGTCGGGCAAAATATTACTGGGACTTTCTCAAAAATTTCAGTAGTAGCACGGAGTCTGGCATTGTGCCCGGTATATGGCAATAGGCTCACCCCCTATTACATGGGACTCATAACATAAATAGTGAAAAGTGGGTGTTACATTGTACAGTGGCATTCAGTGCCGTAATGTACACCTCTGCCTACCCCTTCGGGGATAAAAGGCGTGATGTTATGTTATGTTATGTCGGAATACTCAAACGCTACTCAATTTTAAGTCGTGCTTAAGTATAGTTCTATCTCTACAAATTATTTGTAAAATGACAGAGATGGCACGATATTTGAGCACGACTTAAAATTGAGTAACGGTTCAGTATTCCGGCATTAGGATCTTACTTCCATTCAACTGTTTCGGATCATAATATTTTTGTTCCTTGATCTGTATCTGTATTCTAATTTGCTGATGTGATGGTGAAAAGGAAGTTTACTATATTTGTTTAAGTTGTGTCCATGGGCGGCGCCGATCGCTTACCACCAGGTGATCCGTCTATTCGTTTGCCTCCAATTCGAAAAAAAAAATAAAAATTAACAATTAAATTAACTGGCGTGTAATTTGTCGCATCTTGCAATGTGGGCTACCGTATTTTTGATGACCAAGTGGAGCAAATGTACGGACACATTTTTTGTCCAATCATCAGTAGTTGGAAAATATTGAACACCCAATGGCGTGATACTATCTAATTCCCTGTTGTAGAGAGGTTCACATTAACGGCTTCTGGTAAGCCTAAACTGCCTCGTTGGCCGCAAGTACGACTGCTAAGCAAGGGGTCTCGGGTTCGATTCCCGGGTCGGGCAAACTATAACTGGGTTTTTAAAAAAATCTCAGTAGTTGCACGGAGTGTAGAATTGTGCCCGGTATATGGCAATAGGCTCACCCCCTTACATGGGACTTCTAACATAAATAGTAAAAAGTGGGTGTTTGTACACATTGTACACTGGCATAATGTGCACCTCTGCCTACCCCTTCGAGGATAAAGGCGTGATGTTATGTTCTGGTAAGCAAAAATACGGTGGGCCTCATTGAAATGAATCAAAAACAGTTAAACTCGCAGTAACTTAACCCATAGATCCCCAAGTGGTCACCGGTGACCGCTCTCCCCTAATATTACATGACATTATAGACTTTATTTCCAATGTTTAGAGACTACTTTTGTATGACCAAATTTAGGGGATGGATTTCAACAGGTTAATAGACATAGGTAACAGGTTGTTAAAGTGGTAATCAATAAACTTTATGTTCACTTTTTTCTGTATTGCATTAACAATACTTTTTCGCTGTGGTTTTTCTCATAATATTTTCCTCCCTAATTAGGACTACTGTTTTAACGTGACAACGTCTTATAAATTGGTTTGCCGGGTGACACTTCAAGAAACTGCGTTACGCTCCGCTCACGTTATGCGCTCACAATGAGAGCGAGTGAGAGGCACGCGTCCCTTCCACTCGAGCACAGTTAGCCCGCCTAAGAGCGAGAGAGACAGAGCGAGAGAGAGAGAGTGAGAGAGATAGGCAAATTATTTTACCACTCAAAGTCGTTGTCACATAAAACTTTCGCCCGTATACCGACTTTACAGGCAACCAATTTTTTATCACTTACTTCGACATGCTACATTAATTAACGCTATTTGTTGAGCAAAAAACTAATCTTTCGTAGTTCAAGCTCCATAAGAGTATACTAAGTGAGTTTCCCTTTAGCGTCGATGTACTACCCCGTGCGCGGGTCGTACTACCCGCCGCCGGGGGACTACCGCCGCCCGCGGGGGGGACGCGGCCGCGGCCGGGGGAGGAACCCACGGATGCCGTACTTCGATGGACCAGATGCCAATCATCAGTATTACAGGTTAGTTTCTATATAAAATTACAGTTTGTGGTTCAGCTTTTAGTCATTACTCGATTCCTGAGTCCTGGCTTGAGTTGGAATAAATCTTAGTTTGAAGCTCAACTACATAATGATCCCTTCATTGCAAGAGTAATAGGTTAAAATGTCATCTAAATGGCCTTACATAATTAGGGGTTTTTTTAACTAACATGTAGTTATCCATGGTTGTAACAGCTACAAGTCAAAATGACGTGTAAGTACGGAAAATAATTTCACCAACCTTTCGCAGATACTTCAAGAAGCTAACTGAGGGTAATCCTCATAGTGAACACGAGGACAGGACGCGCGGTCGCTCGCGGGACTCGCGGTCGCGGTCGCGGTCGCGGCGGCGCTCGCACGAGCGGTCACACTCGCGGTCTCACTCGCGGTCGCGGCGGCGGTCGTACACGCGCTCGCGATCTCGCAGTCGCAGGTCTAGGAGCAGGAGTCGACGGTCCAGGTCTAGGAGTAGAAGATCCAGGTACTTATACAAAAAATAATAATTTTTTTTGCAAGTGATGAGTTCATCACTTTTTACTAACTTTTGATCACTAAGTTTAGACAAAAAAAAAGATCTTTCCGATTTTCGATTCTTGACTATTCATTTAAAGTATCTGTTGTTACATGTATTACTTTTTGACTTTCACATAGTTCACTATTCAGTGAAATCATAACTTAGATTCTCCATCTCTTACATGGAACTATGGGACCTCAAATTTGAAATCATTCTTCCAGATCCTACCACTCACGATCGCGGTCTCGGTCGCGATCTCACCGTCGATCCCGCTCCCGGTCTCGGCGCTCTCGCTCCAAGTCTACCAGTCGACACGATCCACACGACCGATCTGAAACTAGAAAGGTTATTTCACCCAACCGGACTGAGTCGCGACGTTCTCGAAGCTGGTCGCAGAAGAAAGACGATACAGTAACGGCAGAAAGCCCTAAGGACAAATAATAATTATACATTAAATATATTCTTCCGTTAACTATAAATAATAATATATAAGTTAAACAAATATATGGTTTTATTTCATCACGGAGTATACAATACTCCGTGATTCAAAGAAGAAAAAGGAGATTGCGCGTTAGCGAATAAGAATTTCCTTATCCTGGAATCAGGGCAGAGAGAAGAAATATCTATTAAATAAATATCTATACACATTACATAATTATTTTTCCTGTTACAAATGAGTCAAATGACTTTTGAAAAGTTATATCACCTAGCAGTCAGTAAAATATCTATTGACGCCTGACGGTATCATAAGAACTAAAGGGCGGAAATAAGCGCAAAACCACTTCTATGTAGCATGTTCTCCAAAGTAGGTACTTTACATTGTGACGTTACCGCCTACTGCTAGTTTTCATATATTGGTGAAAATCTATAGTAAATAGGGCTTACACACGTTCCTTCCTAAGTTGACATGATTGTGTAGGCTTATAGGCTGTCTAGGTTTAGTAAAACTTTATATTATCTATTATTATTATTTATTATCCTTCACAAGAAATCTGTCAGTCTGGTCCACATTAGGATTTTCTCGTGTCGTGATCGGTGAGTAAAAAAAAGTCTTTATTGTAACGAAACATTCACATAATTCAGTTTACATAATGTTATATACGATTAGTTACACATTACACCCGGACCTTACTGCGAGGATCTTCTGGGGACACAGTGGGAGAATGCCCTGCGTGAGCTGAGCACCTCAGGGACATGATCGGCGACGGCGACCTCTCGCGTTCGGCCCTAGTGCGGGTCATGATGCGGAGCGAGGGGGACTGGGATGCCGTCTCCTTCTTTGGCGAAGCAGTCATGCTATCTAAGGAGGAGGCGGGGCGCATGAGGCAGCGAAGCAGCGAAGCGTTGCCTCCTCACAACCCAGCCATCGCGAAGGACACTTCTTGCGTCGAGGATCGCGAGACAACTGAAGCCGTCTGCGGACGGCGAGCTTGGGTAGTTCGCCGCCCCACCAGAACCAGACCCGAGCGTGCAGCGCAACCCGTTCCGCGCGCGGGTCAACCACCACGGGTGGGGCCCAACAGGGCTAATGAACTTAACGGGTTACCGGGGCTCCGGCTCGAAGTGCATGAGTAGGAACGGGGTGGTTTTTAGTCAGTAAGAGTCTGACACTCCCACCCGCCTCACCCAGGCAGGAGAAGTAATTCGATATTAATTTTTTCCCTTTAAAAAAAAACACCCGGACCTGAAGAAAATTTATGTCAAGTGCATAATTGCCTTTTTGTTCGATGAACTTGTTGATCAGAGGAACCTGTGCGCCAATCATGCAATGCCATGTCACCTTTAGGTATCTATCCTATAACAGCAAAGCAGTTATAGGCTGATGTTTTTAAAATAAGTATCTTTCTTAAGGTAATCGTAATCTGTAAAACGGTTTAAAAATTAGGTAAGTATTAATGTAATCTCTCGTTAATGCGGATTGTCATTGATAAATAGATACTGACGTAGGCGGATACCTACCTAATGTTTTTCATACATGTGTTATTTATTTCGTGTTATGCGCCTGCAAGACTATGCTCCTTCGCGCGCGCCTCAAAGAGCCACCAGACCACCACAGATGGGGCCCAATAGGGCCGATGCCGATTCGGAGTCACGGAGAACCTAACGGGTAACCGAGGCTCCGGATCGACGTGCAGGAGAAGGAACGGCGTGGTTTTTAGTCAGTAAGAGTCTGACACTCCCTTCCGCCTCACCCAGGCGGGAGAAGTCATTCGATGATTTTCCCCCCTTAACTCGTTGACTACCGTCATTATAGACACAATTAAAGAACAATAGGTTGCGGTCACCGGTGATCGCTTGGTGTTTGACAGTTTAAAAAAAAAGGCTGTGTGTGCTCCTTACGCTGCTCCTCGCGCTGCCGTGATTTGCCTCGATGTAATCTTCTTTGCCCACACACTCCTCTACTCGCGCAATTAATCGCGACGATCATATTGACGGTCCTCGTTCCCTCCTCGTATTGCAGTGGGCAGGACGAGGAGCATGACGTGTGGCATGACGGGTAATGTTGCCACACTACGTCTCTGTCTCCTTTCCTTGTTACTTCCCATACGACTCTCCGAGTGTGTGGCAAGCGCATTAAGTTACTACCTTGTGTTGAAAATTGTGAAGAATAGACGACACGAGAAGTGGGAGAAAAACATAAAATAAACTAAATAATTGCCCATCGAAGTGCACTTATAGAGGGCGCCGCTGAGAGAACCATACATCTTAACCAAATTATATTGTTGGAGCGAGAACGCTCTCAGCATTACACCTTTAAGAAATATTTTACTATTTCACTGTAATTTAAAGCAATCTATCATTTTTTACAAACAGTGTTTGTTACTTTTAGAAATTTTGATTTGCAATCGATTAAAAGTAGCAGTCAAAAATCAAAGATGACCTGCATACTTACTTTTAATCTTATTAAGGTTTAATAAAACAAATATAATTAGGTAGTAGTAATGTTTATTAGATATGCTAGGTAAACACCCTGGGTAGGAACCACGATTAATCATCCGCGTTGCTAATGTGCCGTGTCTGCGTTATTAATTACTTGAAATAATTATTTAGCTAATGAGCCAGAACAATTTAATCTCTAATCACATTTTGCTTTCTGCCTTGTAGGTAGCGAGTTCTATTCTAGCCCTGGTAGGTAATTTAAACTGTCAAACACCAAGCGGTCACCGGTGACCGCGACCTATTGTTCTTTAATTGTGTCTATAAAACCGGTACTCGACGAGTTAATAAGCTTGGAAGGCTAAGGCTTGTTGGTAGGAAGTATAAGTTCTTGTTGGTTTTTACATAATCAATAAAGTAATGAAGATGACGAAGCTTAATTTTAATTAATTTGGTGTGTAAATGATATCGTGGCACACGATTTTTTGATAACAATATCAGACGGTAGACGTACTTTCAATTTAAAAGGCAATCTACTTAAACGTGAAATCCAAAAACAATTGCCATCCTCATTTCTCAGCAAATTAGATACATTATTATCGCTTATAAAAAACCCTAATATACCTACGTCAAAGTATCTAATCCAAATATCCGTTGGTTTCTTTAAAAATAAGTACGCAACTTTATCAGTGGATTAAAATTTATGAAGAGCCGTAGCCAGAGCCGTATTAAACGTAGAGAGCGCCCTATTCGAGCACACCAGCACCTTACAGGCGCCCCTAATTTTTTTGGCGCCGCCTTCGCTCTATGGGCAGTTGGGCATGCGCATCTCGCCACAGGGGCTGTAACCTGGCGCCCTAGACACTGCCCGCCTTAGGGGTAATACGGCTCTGGCCGTAGAATACAATTAATAATCGGTATTTGTATCAAAAGATTATGATATAACGTCGTTTCTTTTATCTTTGATAAGAGGGTGTAATTAGTATATGAAGTAGGTGGTAATTAATTCATTATAGTCAGTGAATTGACCGTTGGAAGATGAAGGGTTTCGCTTTTGTTTTGTTGTGCGTGCTCGTCGCCGTGCAGGTAATTTTTTTATTTATACAGTGCATTTGAAGGTAGTGTCTGATGTTTAGACAGCCTGTAGGTAGATTAACAATAGATTCATGATTTTATCTTTTTCAGGAATTTTACGATGTTTAAGTAGTGTTGTATCTTACTTTTTATGATTATTTTGTACTGACTAAGTTTTCTAAGCTTTTAGTAATTTATTTATTAAGATTAAGAACTTTATTGGTTGACTAGGATTTTAAAAATGATCTAATATAGGTGCAATATCGATAACAAAATAGATGTTACGTATTATTATTTAATTAATTTATTTATTTTTCCACTTACATTTATCTTTACAGGTTAATGCCCAATGCGATAAATGTGCTCATCTTAATATCTACCTATAGCATATTACATATAATGCATTCCTTGTGAATTCACCCAGAGTACAACAAAATACTAAGTACATCCGTCTGTAGGATTAAATATAATGAAACAGGGAAATATTTTGTTGACAGTTTGCAATATCTGAAACTGCATTTCAAGCGAAGTAAAGAACTATTGCAACTTTTTAAGAGTATTAGTTTTTGTAATTATCTAAACATTTTATCATATATTTGTTTTTCCCAAAATTAACATTTAGCTTACTAAACTAGCGATACTAATATCGCCAGATAGAATGATAATAAAAAAATATTCATAATAGATATCTAACTGATGACAATCATTAGTTTTATTATTTTTTGATATTTAGTTTTTATTTTAGAAAACAAAGGCAGATAGATAGGTAATCGTTTCGATTTAATCTTTTTAATCGATAAGTTGATAAAGGCTACTTAATTGATAATCAGATTAGACACGAATTAGAAAAAAAAACAATAGACAGTTGGACACAATACATTCCTAACTAAAAGTCCTTAGGCTTATACCCAGTAGAAAACTTGAAAGTTAGGTACCCAAAGGACACCTGGGTACTTACTCTGGAAACCAATCTCAATGTCAATGCAATTTCAATCCAATAAAAACTCAATAATTAATCAATGTCAAAACTATTCAACAACAATCGTAGCTGTTAAAATATCAATCAGAGCACGGAATATAAAGCCATTTAGTTCATTCAATATCCACGCAAGACGGATGCAATGGGCGCTAGTGTTTCAACTCGAGAGTACGAAATTTCACAATACCAATGTCGATTGATCGGAATTGGATTCAAGAGTAAGCCCCCTGAAGGCCGGTTTCACAAACCATCTCTTAACTAAAAGTTACTTATTGTGACGCAGCACTTAAACTAACACGTAGGTACATTTCTTTTTTTTTTTAATGGGACAAGCCCGCCACAACCTCCCAAAACCGCTGCAACTCCTGTAAGCCAGGATCTACAGTAGATACAACCATGAAAACACCGGAACACTGAAGTCCGGCGCGTCCCAGGGACATGAGTAGTACCTCTAGTAGTAGGTAACACGTAGGTACTTTTAGGTGTCCCTTATCGAATGATAAAAAACAAAATGTCATTATATGCCACCTATCTTAGCTTAGGTGTTCCTTAAAATTACCTACCTACTTAAAAATACCAGGTTATCAAACATTTTGTAGAACTTTTATTCTTTATCAATTTCTATTTCTTTAAAAATTGTCAATAACGGAAAATCCTAAGTTACGTCTACCTACCTACCTACCTACGTGAAGCGTGTTATCAACATATCCTCTTATCTAATTAGATTTGTAATTAAGCCTAATCTTAATGTTAATACATCTCATTAATTATATTTAATTCCCTAGATTAATTGTTTATCTTTTTGTTTTTGATACTCGATTTTTCCATTAACTTACTGCTCAATATTTATGCCAGCATATAAATCAATTGTTATATTATGAGGACTATGCCTAGCTAATTATGTACGAAGTATACCTACGAATATGAAAGTGTAAAAAAGGAAAATTATTAATTACAATAGCCAATAGCCTGCTGACCCGACCTGTTAGTAATAATCCATGCAGAACTTTTTGAGATCATCACGGACTTACATACAGACAAAAATTCCAAAAACCATATTTTTGACTTCAGTATCGATTGCAGATCACGCCCAAAGTATTCTTTAAAAAAAATATTGAATGTACAACTTTGACTTTTCTACGATTTTATTATATGTAGGTATAAAAGATAGATAGATAAATAAATAAAAATATATGTATTTGTTGTCGTTATTGTAAAATTACTTACTTAGGTACTTTAATTAGGTAGGTATTAGGTAAACTGACATGTTCTAGTTTTAATTATAAACAACTCAACCAATGTACCTGTAACTATAGGTTAAAAAAGTAGTCAAAGGATAAAAACTGCAGATAATATCGAAACAGACAAAAATCTAATTAAATCCAGTAAAATAACTAAATCAGAGAGCTAATTAAAAACATTCCAGTATTGTTCCGTTCAGTCTTTATTTTAGGTGCCATAAGAATATTCTTTTTAAAAATTATTCACATTTATTTTGATTTCAAATACTTATCCTATGTTTTTTTGTTTCAGGGTCGCCACACTGGCGTCGAGAGTAAGTATTTACCATTACTCTATAATACCTAGAATGATACATATTTAAGGATATTGGTAAAAGACGAACAAGTGCAAGGAAAATAAAGCTACTGAAAGAAATAATGAAAATACATGGGTACAATGTAAGAAGGTACTACGTAGTAGACCTAGATACAAAAACAAAGTAGAGTTTTGAAGTTGTGTATGATTTAATTGGAGAGACACCATCTCCAGTAGTATAGTAATTACATACAAGTTAGTTTATCCAAACTACATTATATCATATCAGCAGCTTATAAGTGGCTACTGCTGACCAAAGGCCTCTTCTCACACGTAAAAAGGATTGAGCATCAATAACCACGCTTGCTCAATGCGGGTTGGCAATTTCAATCTTATAAGAGACTAGAAATTATAAGTCCAGGTTTCCTCACGATGTTTTCCTTCATCGTTAGTCAGTGGTGTCTAGATAATCTTAGAAAGTACATATAACTCGGAAAAAGTCACATTGGTACTTGCTGTTGGTAGGTTTTCGAAACCGCACCCTCATGTATGAGAAGCGTCTTGGACCTCAGGGCCACTACGACATTTTTCATCCAAACTAACTCGTATGTAATTACTAGTAATTGTGCTTTTATCTTGAGTATTTTCTTTTTTTTTCATCATCGTCTCATTCCACACTATACAGTATAGGTATACCATACAGTATACTATAATACAATATAGGGGAAGTATATAATACAGTATACAGTTCCCCTAGTAAGTATAGTATAATACAGTATACCACCTACACATCTGACTTTCCCTAGCAATCGTTAATAACCATAACTGTCGTCTCCAGAGGCTGGTAGCGCTGCCGCCCTGGGTGAAAAACCCTGGTTTGTGCACCTCCGCATCGCCGTCTCCACCAGTGGCCTCCTGAACACCTGCGCTGGATCCCTCATCGGAAACAGATGGGTGCTCACCGCTGCCAGCTGCATCTCTGAGTAAGTCAAGTTCAATTAAGCCATACAATCATCGTACGATAAAAATATTGCGTATTATTCTAGCATGGAGCATTAAACTAGAATTTATTTTGTGCACTGATGCGATATTTATATTGCTTCACATATATCTAGTAGTTATGATCATAGTCATATTATCCGTGATATAGTTATGGCACGATAATTTATGGATTAGTTGTCCGGTCGTCCGGGGGTCCGGACTGCCTCGTTGGCCGAGTGGTCTACTACGACTACCGGGCAAGGGGTCTCGGGTTCGATTTCCGGGTCGGGCAAAGTATAACGGTTATTTGTAAAAAAAACCTCTGCAGTAGCACGGAGTTGGAATTATGCCCGGTATATGGCAAAAGGCTCACCTCCTATTACATGGGACTCATAACATAAATAGTGAAAAGTGGGTGTTACATTGTACAGTGGCATTAAGTGTCGTAATGTGCACCTCGGCCTGCCCCTTCAGGGATAAACAGGCGTGATGTTATTATGTTATGTTGTTTGTTCGTCCAACCACTGCACCAACCATGCAGTCAAGTATAACAGCATCCACCAATGCCAACCAAATCAATTGGGCTTTTGAAACACAATACTTACTGTAGTTTCGTAAAAAAATTTTGGTATCACACTGTATCGTGTTCACAATCAATACAGAATCGTATAATATGATATACCTAATGTTATGATGGACTACTATTGATTTTGGAACAGCTCATAGATCGTAACAAATAGGTCAAGACGAAGGTAAATCTCTTAGTAATAAGAGACGATACTAATAAAGTATTTTTTCCAGTGCTCGTTTCATCTGGGTCCGCTACGGCGTCGTCGACGTGATCAGGCCTTCCCTGGTGACTGAGAACTCCCTGACTGTCATCCACCCTGAGTACGACCCCGTCTCTGGCAAGAACAACGTCGCCCTCATCAACATCAACAGAGAGGTCGTCAGCACTGGTCAGTATTCACACACTATTTTCATTATTTCCAAAAATATTATCGTAGGTAAACATTTCCACCAAAATCATGTGAAGTCTTGCTTAGATGGGACATGGGATCGAATACCCTGCACTGTGTCGGGTAGAACCCGGTGTCTACTCCACAGACAACACAAACTATACCTTTTGTCAAAATATGCGGCTTGTCCGTTATACGCAAAAGATGAAAAACTTACTAGGTACTAATAATTTTAATACTTGGCAGATTATATGTAGGTATATGTCGGTAATAGGCATGGCGACTATTTTTTAATTTTTTGTCCGTCTTTTAGATATTTTATAAATCTTCGATACGTATTTTTTCTTTTTTCTCGTATCCAAAAAAACATGTAGATATTTTGAGTTAAAATGACGCGTGACGTCACAATTAGGTACGATTTCTCCGTAAGTGTGACGTCAACACCCCCCACTCCCTAACTTTAATGCGGAATAACTACGTATTCTTCTGTTAATTTGATAAAACAAAAAATACGTGTCTGCTATTTTCGTGTGATCTTAATGACGGACTAATTACTTTTTTGATTTTTTTACCCTGTCGACACGCCTATTGTACCAGAAACCAATTAAAAGAGTGTTAATTTAGACAAAAAGTTCGGTATGATCCTTTGGTCAGTTGGACACGAATAGATATACTTATGAATTTTTTTCAGAAACAATGCCACTAGATAATTTTTGGTCTTTCTTGATTTGGTCTCGTTGTTAACAAAATTCGAAATTCCAACACGTTTCACCAAACATAAAGTTATAATTAACAACGAGGAATGTCTACAAAATTCTTAATTTATAATTAATTGTTTTCAAGAAAATGATGCCTCCGCTAATCCAATATTTATTGCTTACTGCGGATAATATTTTTGCGAAATTCCAGAACTTGGTACCTATTCAAATTCGTAGGAAAACTGTCGGATTCTTTTTTCGAATTCAATTTTGTTTTAAACTTGTGGACCGTTCCGGACCTGACCCAGTTTTGTTTGCAAATATTTCGATTTCTCAAATTGGAATTGGAAACGGTTTTTGGTCTTACTTTTTGGAAATATTTTTAATTTTCTCTCAAAAATTGTTGACAATCTTACCTTGTATGAGCTTTCATTTCTATGGATAACAGGTTCCATTGATAGGTGGATATGGATAAAGTATGATAAAATTAAGTAGTTACGGATAAGAATTTATTCGACGGATTTTAATTAGAATTAGATTTGTTATCTATCGACTAAAATTTAATTTAGGTAGTCATTTGATAAAGTGTTCAACTTGTAACGTTAACACATTCAGCAAAAAATAAAACATCATTTTCAGTTTAAAACAATGACAATAAATGAAATCGGTTAAAAAATAAAATACATTAAAACAAGGACTTCAAAAAATAAATGAACCATTTATAATAAACAATTTCGTTCCAATCAAGATAATCCGGAGGCCAAAGTCTCGCTCGACAATTAAAACAGTTTGCCGAAAGCAATCGGCCGATTAATAAAGTCGTGTTGAGAGCCCCGCGCCGCCCACGGTTCGTTCCGCGCCGCACCGGCGACCGGCCCGTGGCCTGTGTTGCTACATTTTAATTAACGTTTCCGGGCAACCCTGCTATGTTTCCGATGTAGTGCCCACGTTGGTTTTTCCGAAAATTCGGCTAACGATGCGATTTTATTCCGATTGTTTTGCTAGGGTAAGGACGGACTTGTTCATTTAACGGTGGCATTTTTGGAAATCATATTTTAATCGGGTCGCCATGATTTTTCTGTATTGTTGTTAACTTTTCTGGGTTGTATATTTAAATTAAAGATGATGTTTTGACTATTTAATGAAATAATTTAAACTTTCTTTGCAATATGTAGTCCCTTAAATGGTTTGTGTATCAAAGGACCATATTACTGTAACTACCTACTAAATGTAGATACCTCTATAGTACCTAGAGTACGAGATTTTACAAAGATTTAGATCTTACGGATTATTTTTCAAATTCATTTATTTATTCATTGTAGATCACAGGTAGGTACATAATACAGCAGTTATCATAATTTGATTGAGTTTATCTGTGTCGTACAATAGTTGGGTACAATATTAATGTTAATGTCAGTAAATTATATAATAAAATAGGAAATTATTAGAAAAACTACATATGTCAACTGTCAATAAATACTTATGTGAAATGTTTATTATGATTTTTGTAATAAAATTAAGTTAAAAATAAAGTATAGTAGGTAATACTGACACGTCATGATTTTCGTATCATCACTACATAGTATAAAACAAATTAGCTATCCGCCGTCTGTCTGTCCCTATGTATGTTTAGATCTTTAAAACTACGCAACGGATTTTGATGCGGCCTTTTTTAATAGATAGAGTGATTCTTAAGGAAGGTTTATATCTATATGTTAATACATACATATTGTACGCGTGCGAAGCCGGGGAGGGTCGCTAGTATAGAATATTGTAGCAGGGATTTGTCAGTTAGGTAATCATTTCAATTTTATTTATATAATCTGTTTATTTGTTTATAGAGAACATCTCTCCCATCTCCCTGTCCGGAGTTGACGCCGAATCTGGATCCTTCTGCGCCTTCGGAGCTAGTGACGGCAGTGAGTATGCTGTGACGATTTTAATTTTTAATAAAGAAACATCATCACGATTTGGTAATACAGTAACAAATTAAGATTTTTGCAAATATTTTGGCTAACAATGATTTATAAACGATTCATAAAAAACTATTTAACCTATACACTTTTTTATTTTAAATTCTAGTCGAGATTTTTTTAAACATATCATGAAACAATTTATTTATTCAAACATCTAGTCAGTAGTGTCTAAATCTACGTTATTCAGTACTGAAAATATATGTTTCAGAGCCTGGTGAACAGCTGAACTGCTACGACGCCGCCATCTCTCAGGATGAGGATGGTCTCAGTGTTTCTGGCGACTTCGAGGTTTCTGAAGTAAGTTGACAACTTTGTTGGAATATTTTCGTATTTGTTTTTAGACATTTGACTTTAATTTTAATATTTTATCTTCATTGCATCCTTGACTGCACGGTTGCCGCGGTGGCCGGGCAACTGGCTGCCGCGTAACGTGTCGCGGGTTCGATTCCCGCACGGAACAACTCTTTGTGTGATCCACAGATTGTTGTTCCGGGTCTGGGTGTCACGTGTATGTGATATTGTATGTTTGTAAACGCACCCACGACACAGGAGAAAATCCTAGTGTGGGGCAACGTTTAAAAAAAAACTGTTTTTTCACAAAATATCTCTTTTCTAGGAATTAGTGGTTACTAAAAATATATTCATATAATAACATATAGGTCAAAAATATTCCAGATTCCTTGCTTGAAGCTTATCATACATAACTTTGTATGTAAGTAGTATGCAGTATAACTGTACTAAATCGATTTTTTGAAGTAGAGTAGAGTAGAGTAGAGTACAGTAGAAGATTAGGAGGTTTTCGATTTAAAACTTTATTACAATACTATGGAGTTTGTGTAGGTGTTATGATTAGGTTATCTTATATTTCTTATCTCTTATACTATTATAACTATATTAGGCTCAATAGTTTGTTTGTTTGAAGGCACTAATCTCCGAAACTACTCGTCCGATTTGAATAATTATTTTTGTTTTAAATAGTGCATTTATCGAGGAAGGCTATAGGCTATAAAACATCACATTACAATTAATAGGAGCCGAACAGAGGAGATGAAAACGCGCGGAAGTAATTAATGATATTTGTATAAATATATGCATTTTATGTAGCCAGAGAGATCAGTTAATGATTACAACATTCGATAATAAGATTGTATAACAAAATATTAATTATTCAAATGTCCTTTTTGATATCCAAATTATTAGCAAGCTGTTAATACATTCTTAAAATTAGGGTCAGTAGGTCAACGAAACTAGGTATTTTATGCGTGTAAAGTGTTATATACTTTCAAATTTGTTTTAGGTATTAGAGTACCTGCTCTTTAGAATTTCTTAATATATTCAAATATTTGTCCGATATTTATAGTCTGTAGTGTATGCGCCAGAATTTGTACTAATTCTCAAAAGACCGGTAACGCACTTGTAACGCCCCTGTTGTTGGGGGTGTCCATGGGCGCGGCTTGCTTACCATCAGGTGACCGTCTGCTCGTTTGCCGGTCGAACTCTTAAAAAAATCTTCATTAACCTTCAGTATATAAATATACTAGCTTTCACCCGCCGCTTCGCTCGCGTCACAAAAGGATAAAAAGTAGCCTATGTGACATATATCAATACACACAGCGCCATCTATACCAATAATTTTGTTTTCCCTCGGGAATATCAAATTTTCCGGGATAAAAAGTACCCTATTATTTAATCCAGACTTCTAACTTTACGTCTGCAAAAATTCAAAGCAATCGGTTTAGTAGTTACGGCGTCAAAGCGGAACAAACAAACAAATTCACTTTTCGATTTATAATATTATTAGTAAGGATGATGTTATATAATATTATGTTTCTTCCTTTACAGTTCGACCTTGGAGCCCCAGTTGTGAGCGAAGGTGCTCAGGTCGCTCTTCTCACCGGATCTGCTGGTTGTAAGTATCTTTACATGTTTTGTAATATGCGTAAATCATTGTATCATAATTATGTTGCGTTTCACCGTGGGAGTGAATCTCATTCACCTCACATTGTCCCGTTTTCGAAAACCACGGGAAAATTTAAATAGTCGAACCTATGCGACGACTCCTTGGACGGCTCGAGTGGTGTGCGAGAATGATTCAGCGTCATACATAACTCTATATTTTTTGACTAAGTAAATTTGAAAAAATATCAAGTATCAACATTTTTGTGCAGTTAGTAACGTTAACCTATTTGTTGTGGGCACAAAGATTGTTTTTACAGGTTCAATAATAAGATCTAGTTACTAAATGCCTGACTAAATCTAAATTAACGAATGTACCCTTTTGAGTCAAATGGCATTAAGTGCCGTAATAGCACCTCTGCCTATCCTCTCGGGGATAAAAGGCTATGTATATGTATTATGTTATGTATTTAATATGTTTATTTAAATTTTTTCACGGACATTAGTGATATAAATTACTGTGATGATTAATCACGGTGAAATTACCCCCCTCTCCAATCTCCCCAATTCCTGAATCCCCAATTATCCTCAAATTCCAAATCCCCAAAACGCTGGTAACTCACTTGTTACCAGCGTTTGGCACCGATTGCTTACATCAGGTGATCTGTCTTATCATTTACCGGATTATAGGCTGTTTACTATGGTCTGTCCCTTATTATTAAATATATCAGCTCTCTGCGTTTCTATTAAATAATTACTCATATAACTTATCCATATTTTCGTTAGTCTTCCCTTTTATATCCATCTATCCACGTATAACACCGTGTTCTGTCTCTTAAAGATTACAGACATTAAACAAGCTAAATAAGCCGTAAAAAGTCTTTTTGCTAAACTCTTCAGAAACTATTTATAATCTATCTTTAATGTTCTTTTTCCAGCCTTCACCGAGGTCGGCAGCTACATCGACTGGATCCAGAGGTCGACTGGTGTCAGCTTCAACTCTGAAGCTGTCGCTGCTGAAGCCGTCCACTTCGTCTAATAAGTCACAACCACACCACAGCTCAACCGTTAAACGTGGTCCTTTGATCCAACGTGGTCCTAATTTGGTCCTTCGCTCCCTTGTAACCTGTTCCTAAAGTAATGCCTAAAAATAACTACACCAACGGTCTGATAACTGATATTTTGAGCTGTGTTAATTATTGTAATAAATAAATTAACAAATTCCATTCTTTCTCTTTTTTGTTTTGAACCGTATTACATTTGCTATAAGTCTTATTTTGACGCATCGATTTCATAAAGTGGAAACTGTAAATATGCTTATTTATTTGCAATAGATACTGGTTTCATTTGTTACACAAACATAATTTGCATTATCAAGTAGAACAATCAACTTTAATACTTCTTTACTATGCTATCAGATGTTTCCAAATGAAAATTAGTTTGAGCCAGAACCAAAAAAAAAGGGTTTTACTTAATTTACTCGCAAGTTTCATTACCCAGTTGTATACAACATCTGTTACCACCAAAAAAAGGGTCTGTATATGATATAGATGTGTACATATGCAATTATATTATATAAGTGTTGTTTTATGAGTGAATTATAAGCTTTCGTAACGCTTCGACGATACCGGCGGTCGAAAAAATGAGGTTATGCGGCGGTGCTACTGCGAGCGACTAGCGGTACTTATCATAATAACTTAACTATTTATTATGTATTGGATATAAATGCGAGAGTGGTTTTTTTGTTTATTTTTTGTGTTTAAGTAATTATTCCAATTTAGTCAAGAAGATTTTCTTGAAAAGACACGTGGGAAACCCTAGGGTAAAAGCTAGTCATATGACAAATCTTTAATAGCTAACCTGTTTTACTAATTATTATTATTAACTCGACTAGTTTCAAGCCATGCCAGAGGCTCATATTCATGAGCAGCGATGCTCATCATCCCACGACGCGGTGACTGTCGCGCTTCTACCGGCTCTACTCTAGCATGGCTTGAAAGTAATCGAGTTCCTTGTCAAATAATTTCTTGAGTAAGTCGAAAAACATAATAATTAATTTGGTTTGTCTAACGAAAATTATAATATAATCCGACTCGGCGTCATTTCTAAATGCTTACGTAAGTGTGTAAGAACTCATAGATTACCAACTATCAATCTCTATGATTGATCTCTTACATTTTTCTAAATTAAATTTTAAATATTCTAGTTCGTAGGTACTTAGTTAGCGAACTTTGCCCGCTTTAGGTAATACATTTTCATGTCAAGTTACCTATAACGAAGTTTTTCACGTCTCACATTAAAATATCAAAAGTTTTGCTTTAAACAGCACCATTAAACGTAGTAAGTACCTTAGGAAAGATGTTCTAAAGAGCTATTAACTAGTAAGGAACTTCTAAATATTGTTTTGAGTAGCCATTTTGGCACTTATTACCTTTTTATTTGTCAGTCACCTATCTAACAACTCCATCATTCATTTGTTTTACTTTCTTGTTACGTAGGATGATGGAGTAATTTTTTTGTTTCAATATAATTTTACTTTTAGTAACACACTAGCTGACCGAGTAAACTTTCTACCGCCTAAAATTTTTTTTTATCCTTCCACGAACATTCTAAGACAGTTTAGAAGTTTCGATTTTTAGCGAGACTAACGAACGGAAATTCATTTTTATTCACATAGATTGTTGATTGTTGTTTCTTACTTTCAAAATACTAATGTAGATATACAAACCGTTTATATAACCCCATTGTATAAACCATGCAGCCACAGCAAATTAATGATACGAATATTACAAAAAATACAAAATCGCTCCGCTTGACGTCCCTCTCTCCGCTCACACTGCGGATCGACCTCTCATCCGCGACTATTTACATTGAAGTGTGCCACTTCGGTCTCAGTATAAATCGCTCCGCTATTATGGTAAAATCGCTGGAAATCATTGATTTCCTCATTGTGGCGGGCTTTTACCCACGCAGCCATAATATTATAGTTTTATTGTTATTTCCTTGAATATGAGTTATTGGTTTATAATTATAACAATGGTGTTACAAAGTATTATCGATTTTAAAGGCAATATTTAACAAGAAAGTCTTTCATGGTTTTCTTTCTCATAAGATCGTACTTTATCATTAGAATAGTTATTAATCCGATTGCCAAACAAGGAGGTTCGGGTTCAGCAAAGCATTATTGCATTTTTCAGTTCGCTACCAAAGACCAGCAATGCACTTCTAACTCATTATGTGTTCTAAGTGTCTACAAGCAGCACTGATTGGTTACCATCAGGTTACAGGAGGGACATAAAAAATCTTCTATTTAACTTAATGCTATTATCCCTACATGTAATAGTTAAATCGGTGTTAAACAAATAACCAATCTCATAACTTTAATGTTAAATCAATATACAGTCAACTTCATAATTGTCTACTAAGTATTTACTATATATTTAGTGCCTATAACAATAAAACCTGCCTGCCTCGTTGGCCTAGTGGTCGCAAGTGCGACTGTCGGGCAAGGGGTCTCGGGTTCGATTCCCGGGTCGGGCAAAGTATTAATTACTGGTTTTTTTTAATCTCAGTAGTTTTTTTTTTTTTTTTTGGTTGAGTTCTGCTACATGGCAATCTGTTTTTCAACAATAAGCCACTTCTTTGTCTGATTTCTCAGTTTATGTTTTCTTCAAGAGCCATATTTGTGTGAAAATTCCTTTCACACGACTCTCTTGTCGTCAAGTGGTAAATCTTTTATGTAGGCTCGGTATGTCACTTCTTTTTAGCCTGGTATGCCGAAGGGTGTCTTCACTCAGAGCGTGTACCAATGTGTTTACATGGGCTGCCAGTTTGTCCTGATATTTCAAACTGTTTTGAGCTATTTCCTGCCGAACTGTTTTTAGGCCGAGGTCGAGGTATATGTATTTGTTACTTATGCAATGAGGGATGCCAAACATTGTTCTCAAGGCTTTGGTTTGGAATCTCTCTAGGATATCTATGTTGCTGTTGCTGGCCGTTCCCCACAGTTGTATGCCGTAAGTCCATATTGGTTTTAAGGTGGTTTTGTATACTAACATCTTGCTGTTACAATTTAGTTGCGATTGGGATCCCAACAGCCAGTTCAGTGACCGCAGTTTTCCATCTAATTGTTTGCGCTTTGACCAAATATGTTTCTGCCATGTAAGTCTCCTATCTAGGTGCATGCCTAAGTATTTTGCGCTATTATCTTGAGGGATCACTTTGCAGTTGAGCGTTACCGGTGGACATGTTTCTCTCCTGAGTGTAAAAGTCACATGTACCGATTTGCTCTCATTGGCTTTTATTCTCCAACGCTTCAGCCATACCTCAACTTCCGTCAGATGATTTTGCAACTGTGATGATGCCGTTTCTGGGTTGCTATGAGCCGACAGTAGTGCCGTATCATCAGCATATGTCGCAGTTGTAGTGTAGTCAGTTGTTGGGATATCTGCTGTAAAGATGAGATATAGTACAGGGCCCAAGATACTGCCCTGAGGAACACCTGACTTTATTTCGTGTAGCTCTGAAAGATCATCGCTGCACTTCACTTGGTAGCATCTTTTATCTAAGTAGGATCCTAGTATTCTGAATAGACAATGCGGCAGTTGTTTCTTTACCTTGAACAGGAGGCCGTCATGCCATACCTTATCAAATGCTTGGCTAATATCCAGAAACACAGCAGAGCAGTATAATTTGTTTTCAAGGCACCTGCTAATGATGTCAGTTATACGGTGTATTTGTTCAATTGTCCCGTGTTTTTCCCGGAATCCAAATTGGTGGTTCGGTAATACTCTACTTAGATGTTCTTTCATCCTGTTAAGCAATATCCTCTCAAACAGTTTGCCGATAACTGGTAGCAGGCTGATAGGTCTGTAGGAAGTAACTTCCTGTGGGGGTTTACCAGGTTTCAGTATCATGACTACATGAGCAATTTTCCATTGCCCAGGGAAATGTTCTAGTCTTAAGCTGGAACTATTCACTATGGAAAGCTACCAAGAGTCTAAAGCGCCCGAAAATCCACAAATCACCTATCAGTGATGAAAAAGGAGGGTGGGCTAGATCAGACAAAGAAAAGGCATGTATCTTTGCGAACCATCTGAAAACAGTTTTCCAACCACTCCCTGAAAACAATCCCGAACACACTCTGGAGATCAAGAAATACCTCGAATCTGTGAATCAAATGTGTCTTCCACTAAAAAGTACCTGCCCAAAGGAAATTGTGAAAGAAATAAGGCAACTCAAGGAAGGTAAAACACCCGGATATGACTTTATTGATGCCACATTACTTAAAAATCTGCCTCATAAAGGGGTAATGAAATTGGTTAACATCTTCAATCTCAGTAGTAGCACGGAGTCTGGCATTGTGCCCGGTATATGGCAATAGGCTCACCCCCTATTACATGGGGTTCATAACATAAATAGTGAAAAGTGGGTGTTACATTGTACAGTGGCATAATGTGCACCTCTGCCTACCCCTTCGGGGATAAAAGGCGTGATCTTATGTTAACACTAAAGCCTAGATCATATGCATAACATCTGCAGAACGTGTTTGTCTGTGTGATGTGATATTTGTCTTTCCAACGTAAGTTGTGTTATGTCAAAGTTTTGATATTTCCTTACACTGCCGAGCTGCCGACTTAACCTATGAAGTGTCGGAACGTAGATCTACGTGAGACATAATGTGATTACTATTGTGTGTCTTATATCGATAGACAAGTGGTTAAGGCATTGTCCTATAAGCCTGCCAGTATTATGTGCTCCTTGTTGATAGAAGTTGTTAAAAGTAACTATGAATATTTTCATTTCATTCACAATTTCGTTTATCCCATTTGTCGTTCACTTCAGCCTCGTGTCACAAAGTTAAAAGTTTTGAAAAATTACTTAAATACATTCTCAAGTTCAGTGGTAGTGGTAGATATAAATTACACTGGAAATTTAAGAAACATAAATACACAACTTCACGCCTGTCTCCCATGGGGGTAGGCAGAGACTATGGAACGCCAATTATTACGATTCCTACATACCTCTTTCGCTTCATCAACAGTCATCAATCTTTTCATGCATGCTCATCGGTTAAGGGTACTTTTAATTTGGCCCTAATATGTCGCCAATCTGGTCAGTATATAATCGCCTAGGGCGCCCTCTACCGACGGCCCCATTCATATCCGCTCTGTATACTTCTTTCGTTACTCTACTTTCATCCAAATTTAAGAAAATTTAAGAATTTAAATTTAAGAAACGTTACAAAAAATGTAAGTCGGTATTTTAACTGCAATTTTATCAGAATTTTCTAGAAGAAAAATCTCTATTCAATTTAAAAAAAGGCATTCATAAATCCCACAGTCGACTATACCTACACACTTAATTTACATGTTTGACTTCCCAACCACGTAACTTAACCTTGGCCAAGTTTGGTAAAAGTGATATTCAGATTGCACTAAACAATTATGGAGTGGAATTGCTTAGTTTGTATGTTGCTATGGTTTCAAAAGATTTGGTTAAAAACTTATGTGTTCATGCGACCTCGAGGATTGGTTGAGAAATGTCAGATGCGCGAGTAACCGACAGACTGTTGGAGAACTTATGGCTTCGATATTTATGAACGTGATATTTATCACGTCGGCATGAATGGTGGAAACACGGTGGAAAGTAGCAGTGTATGTAGTATCTTTATATACATAATTCTGCTGTACGTGTGTATGTCATTGAACTCCTCTTAAACGGCTCGACCGATTTAAATGATTTTTTCTGTATGCGTTTGGGTGGCACCCTGGATGGTTTAGATTCACAAATTAGCCCGGCAGATGGCGCTGCAGTCGATATCTAGGTTATTTATCTATACCTATTATTATATTATATGCAGGACAACATCTGTCGGGTCCGCTAGTATACTATATTTTGTATATTGAACATGGTGTAAGCGAAAATGACGCCTATTTTCCTTGCGAGGTCAATTCCCTTAACCAGTTTTATTTTTATTTTTTTAAGGGGGGAAAATCATGCATGACCGCCTGGGTGCGGGAGCAGTCATTCGATGATTGGCGGGAGGGAGTGTCAGGCTCTTACTGACTAAAAACCACCCCGTTCCTACTCCTGCACTTCGAGCCGGAGCCCCGGTAACCCGTTAGGTTCTCGGCGACACCTAGTTTTATTATTTGCTAGTTATGTTTTTAATGTTATTATAGTGACAGGTAATGTATTGCTGAAATTGTAAAGCCAGTGCTTACTTAATGAAAGTTTAAATACTGAAGAAGTTTAGTAGTTAGTAACTAGCACAATTCAATTCCCAATCTGGGAATGCCCTACGACTATGAGTCTGTGACCAACTACCAGTCTATCTTCACCATTGTAAAATTCAAAACTTCATTGGCCGGGTGGTCGCAAATGCGACTGCCGGGCAAGGAGTCTCGGGTTCGATTCCCGAGTCGGGTGAAGTATTACAGGGTTTTTACAAAAATCTCAGTAGTAGTACGGAGTCTGGAATTTTACCCGGTATAATTATGGCAATAGGCTCACCCCCATATACAGTGGACTCATAACGTAATAATGAAAAGTAGATGTTACATTGTACAATAGCATTAAGTGCCGTAATGTGCACCTCTGCCTACCCCTTCAGGAATAAAAGGCGTGATGTTATGTTAGTCTGGTCAATTGCCACTAAGGATATAACAACTAAGCTTCAATGTCACTATCACAATAGTATTAATATCGAGACAATAGACTATCATACTCCTCGAATGATGGTCACTCATCACTCATTGACTCTTGAAGACCCGTACTTAAGTAGATTAAACACAAAATGTGGGTTAAGATGCCGCCGACCGGACCTTAGAGGACAGTGACGTAATGTAAATCTAAAACATAACAGTGCCGGATTTGGGACGTAATGTGGTCGTGTAACTCATGATAGAAAACATATCTGTCTGGCGTCTTAATTAGGTATTTTCTATTAGGAGTATGCAGTACTTAATGAATACCGTAAGTATGTTTGTTGGACTTTAAATAAATAACACAAAATCTTACAGTTGGTATATTTAAAACTGTGTTGCTTCAATTTTCTAAAACTGTATTACTGAATTCTTTTTTAAACTATTGGTGCAAGTTCGAGGTAGTTCTTAAATATTGCCCAAAAGTAAAACTGTCCAGTCAATTTTATTCACTAATAATGTGTGTACATCTGTCTTATTAAAATAAACAAAATCTTCATGATAAAACATGAAAGGGGTATTTAAATGACTGATATAAACCGTGTGATATGTATGAAAATATTTTACTGTCTCACGCCGACTCATTTCCTAAATAATATAAAATAAATGGGTCAGACACATATGTATAGTAATCAACAACAAACATTTTACGAGCAACTAAAGTTGACATATTTACATGGAAATAACGACAAGCCTCGTATATGTGCATGGAGTGTTATATGTTACTGCTTGTTGTATACTACAAAACATGTACTTTATATACGTCGTCTCTATTTAGTCCGACAGCAGACATAAGTTAAAGGACAAATGCTGAGATGCGACATACCATTTAGATACATTTCGTTTCGATTTTTTCTTATTTATGTTGATTGGAATAAGAACATGTACTTTAATAAATTGTTGATTGATTCAATGGAGAAAACCGTAGCATGGTAGCATTTAGAATTATTAAAACTACAACTTACGAAAGTAACCGCGGTCGTCCCACCGCGTCATGAATGAACGTGTCACACAGACGACCGGCAAGTCCGGCCCTGGGGAAACTTTCTCTCTTACAGCATCACAGATTGCGCATGATTCTTGTTAACGCATTTGGCCACATTGTGCGCAGGCGCGAGCCGCGAGCGCTATGTCTCGCGAATTTAACTATTATTAAAATAATTTTCACAATAAAAAGTTAAATAAAAAAATGTACAAGTCCGCCCCTGCGTGAGTGAAAGAGGATTGCAGTTTTGAATTATATTGTGTGAGTGACGTTAATTTAAGATGAGGTGCTAAGTGTTCAAAACTTTGAGTTAAAACACATATGTCGTTATTTATTTATATGTGCTACTTTTAGTTTTCACTGAAAAGGGTCGTTTTTCAATTTCGCTCAGCAAAATTGTTTTAAATATTCAATCGGCGTGTGTAAGCGACATAAAAGTTTTTGTTTTTAGCTTTTGAATAAATGATGCCCTAACATTGAATGGAAAAGTGTGCTGTAAAATGTTTACTTATAGATTTTCTCATTACTTTTCCAGATAATATTTTCTCAGTAAAATAATGTTGCATACTTAAAACCAAAATGTTTGGGTTCAAACGATCGTCTGTGCAACTTGTGGTGATACTGGCTTGGCTTTTGCGATATTACACCTTCGGGTCGATAGTAATATGGTGTATAGTCGCGTGTGGTTTGAGTTTGGCTGTTGTTTTGGCTGTGACGACGTATGACCATGACTACTGGACGACCCGTGGGGTGTTCTCCCCGCCTGCGTGGCCGGTCGTGGGCCACATCCCGTCCGTGGTGATGTTCAGGGAGCAAGGAGGCATGTGTTTCAAGAGGATATACGATACATATCAGGATGAGAGATTTTTAGGTAAGTACTCACTTTTCTGCTCTCGTTGGCATCGTTGGCAGAGTGTCTCGGGTTCGATTCCTGGGTCGGGCAAAGTATTACTGGGTTTTTAAAAGAAATCTCAGTAGTAGCGCGGAGTCTGGAATTGCGCCCGGTATATGGCAATAGGCTCACCCCCTATTACATGGGATTCATAGCATAAATATTGAAAAGTGGGCGTTACATTGTACAGTGGCATTAAGTGCCGTAATGTGCAACTGCCTACCCCTCCGGGGGTAAAAGCGTGATGTTATGTTAGTTTACTATTGCTGAGTAAACGTCGACTTCCAGATTTTAAGCATAAAATTACGGTTGAATAGGAATTATGTTTTGTTTATGTACTTACTTAGGCCATACTACTATATCCTACTGGATATTGTCATTTCAATACGAAGAGGAGTTTGTGAACTTAACCCGTGTCGTATGTCTAAACGCGGATCCACGCGAGACACAAAGTATTTTCTGACATTTATATCTGGTTAGAACTATGAACCTTACACCTGAATACTGAAAGACTACTCAATTTTAAGTCGCGTTTAAGTATAGTTCTCATCATCATCATCATCAAACATAGGCCTCTCCAAAGGCACGCCACTGAGCTCGGTCTTCAGTTCTTCTCATCCAACCACTGCCAGCCACCTTGCGGACGTTGTCACTCCACCTAGCTGGAGGGCGCGCTACACTGCGTTTGCCTAGACGCGGTCTCCACTCTAGAACACGTTTACCCCAACGGTTATCGGTTCTTCGACAAATGTGACCGACCCACGGCCACTTCAGCTTACTGATCCTTTGGGCTATGTCGATAACTTTGGTTCTTTGTCGGATCACTTCGTTTCGGATTCGATACTTCAAAGAGACTCCAAACATAGCTCTCTCCATAGCTCGCTGCGCGACCTTAAATTGGTGGACCAGTCGCACTGTCAGTGTCCACGTCTCGGCTCCGTATGTCATTACTGGAATGACGCAATCGTTGAAGACTTTTGTCTTCATGCTTTGCGGTATCTGAGACGAGAAGACTTGATTAAGTTTTTTATATGCTGCCCAGCCCAGCTGTATCCTTCTACGGGCCTTCTTCTCGAAGCTGTTCCTACCAAGCTGTAGGGTTTGTCCCAAGTAGATGTATTCCTGAACAACTTCGAGAAGCGATCCGTTGAGGACAATTGTCTCCGGAATGACAAGTTCTTTTTTTTGGGACAAGCTCGCCACAGTCTCCCAAAACCGCTGCAAATCACAGAAGTTGGTTTTGGGATCCAGCAGGTAGCCAGGATCTACAGTAGATACAACCATGTAAACACCAGAACACTGAAGTCCGGCGCGTCCCAGGACCATGAGTAACTGTCTTGGTTCCCGCAACGAAGTGAATTAGAAGATATTATAAGAAGAAAAGAAAAAAAAAACGATAGTTTCCACTTCACTCGGTGAATGACATGGGAATGACCAGTTCATTGGACATTATTTTTTTATAATATAGTTCTGCCGCTACAAATTCTATGTTAAATGACAGATATGGCACGATATTTGAGTACAATTTAAAAGTCCCTTTCAGTATTCGGGCGTTAGCTAGTGAGAGAAAGATTAGAAGGTACAAATTAACTATGTAATTTGAACTCCAGTATAATCACTAAAAATAAACAATAATTCGCCTAAAATACAAAAACAAATTCATGAATGCGATCCAGTATGATGTAATTGGCCATTGATTAATTGAATACTTTAGACACGGTCTGACTGGCAGCCGGTTGTTTGTTCATCCTCTATATCACATGCTACTGGTGGAACCAGTACAGCTGGTATTGTTAGGTCTGTAAGTCAAAAACGTGATGTCTAGAAAAGTTTTGACGATGTATTCGATTTGTTTATTGCTTGTTATTATGGCCCTATACTATTTTGTTACTACTATGCCGGGCAAGGGGTCTCGGGTTCGATTCCCGGGTCGGGCAAAGTATTACTAGGCTTTTTTTTTAAATCTCAGTTGTAGCACGGAGTCTGGAAATGTGCCCGGTATATGGCAATAGGCTCACCCCCTATTACATGGGACTTATAACATAAATAGTGAAAAGTGGGTGTTACTTCTGTGTGCACCTCTGCCTACCCCTTCGGGGATAAAAAGGCGTGACGTTATGTTACTATGTCGTACCTATGTGTTTGTCAAGATATTAATTCATGAACGCATCACTCTCAGACCAATAATTTGTAGATTACAAAAAGATTTTGTTTCGTATCCGTATATATAAATCGAATCCGTGGCACGTTTTGCTGTAACCTGTAGACCAACTACTGCCCCAACCAGGCATCAGGGCAGTGCATGAGTGCAGAGTGCAGGCATGATTATTAAAATATTTGGTGGGGTTTAGGTAAAAGGCTTGTGTTTTATAGATTACAGCGTAAAATCATATATTTATTTTAGAGGAGGTAAATACTTACAAACACAAATATATATGGACAAGAGACTGTTTTATATAGTGATTTTAGCTGTCGAGTACTTTCCTATAAGATTTTTAACCGACGTCTAACCTATCAGTGGGTGTGTAAGCTATAAGTGCGTATGACCAATAATAGTTATTTTTTTCCTTTTTAGTTTTTACTTTTCGTTTGTCTTTAGTTTTTTAAGTCGGTTTTTTTAAACGTAGTTTTTTAATTTTAGAGTTTCGTCTCTTGGATTAATTGGATTAATATCTTCATAGTAGGAAACTATGAAAAGAAAAATTAGGATTATTATTGAAAGTTTAAGTTTGACATCACTATCTATCGTGGGAAAGTCCTGGGATGTGTTACAAGCGTAGTATTATGTACAATATTTCCATGAACGACCATGAAAAGATTGCAGAACTATTGCTTAACAATCCTTCATTACAATTCCAGGCTGCCACCAGTTCTACCAGCGCACTCTAGTGGTCCGCGACCCCGAGCTGATCCGAAGAGTGTGCGTCAATGACTTCCAGCACTTCACAGACCGAGGGTTCTTCTTCAACAAGGACGTGGATCCTCTCGCTGGGTCTGTGCTGTTCTTGAGGGGGAATGAGTGGAAGAGGCTCAGAGCTAAGATATCGCCTATATTCTCGTGAGTATTTGGATGTGATGTCAATATTTAGATTGTTTACTGTTAATCGCACACGTATGCTTAATATTAACGTTATGAAGGCTGTGTCTTGGATTAACGCGGCCATTAACAATAACCTATTGATCTGTAGATTTGATTATAAGTATCATTATTTAATTAAGCAATACGTAGGTATAAAGATAAGCAACTGAGACTGAGCGTGAGCGATCTTCATTTTGACAAAGCAGTGAAGTTACAAAAGTGAATAACAACGTTTTCAACCAACAACTTAATAGTCAATAAATTTCCAAATATGTTATAAGTCTCCTCACATACGAAGACACATTTGTAAAGCGAAGTAACATAGGACATATCCCAACAAGTATAGTAAACCGTTCTTACCTCTAACATAGCAATTTCGTACATTTCAGACCAAACAAACTGCGCGGCATGTTCCCGCTCATAGAGAACACAGCGGTAGAATTCGTGACAAGGGTTCAAGATTTGCTGACACAGTCTAAAAATGAACCGAACAAAAATGGCCCAGTGAAGACAGAAGGTCAATCGAATGGTGTGGAACAAATCTCCGCTGTGGTGAACTCTGAGAAGCTTGTCGGTGGTTATACAGCCGATGCCATCGTGCCTTGCGCGTTTGGTTTAAAAAGTAACGTGATGTATAATGAAGATGATCCCTTCGCTGTAGCATTACATGCGTTCTACGAGATGTCGCTGTTTAATATCTTTGAGAAGTAAGTTTTTGGTCCGCACACACACACTCTCTTTTTATATGGGATAAGCCTGTAAACGAATAGACGGATCTCCTAATGATAAGCAATCCGCGTCGCCCATGACAACCTGGAACACCGGACGCGTTACAAGTGCGTAACCGGCCTTTTGGGATTAGGAATTTGAGAATTGTTGGAAATTCAGGGATTATGGAAGGGGGGGATGGGTCTCCGGTAACCTCCCTCACACGACGAAACACAACGCAAGCGTTGTTTCACGTTGGTTTTCTGCTCGGCCATGGTATCACTTTGGTCGAGCCGGCCCATTCGTGCCAATTTATATGTTCTGTGGTGCCAAAGCATAGCTCTCCCACACTTGGTATGTTCATTGTATTAAAAAATAATCAGTAACTAAATCTGTTCACTTACAGCTAAATCAAATTGATCCTACACGCGTGCCCACGTAAACACTTATATATTCTTTCTACTGCCCTAAATGTTCAATCAAAAACTTCTAATTGACACTAATTCTTATTCAATTAACTTAGACAAAAATCCAAGTATTTATTCAAGACGAGGCCACGTTTGGTGCTTTTGTTCGGCCATTAATAAATAAGATATTGATGCCTAACTTTCATAGTTGGACTAAAGCTAACCAATCACTTATTATTTAGATAGTTCATTCAATTACCTAGTTACAGATAAGAAGACTTGTTTAACTTAATCACGAAATTAGTTTGTAAGTGTTCAAGTATTTCTTGTTAAGTTATGATTGTAATTTGGTGTTATTTTAATTGTTTTTTTTTGTCTGGATTATGTTTTATTTGGAAATAGTGGCTCGTCCCGCTTGTTTGCCTGGATGGTTTTCGATATTTCCTATGATTATTTCATTTTTCATTATAAGTACCTACCTTTCTTTTGATAATAACGAACGTCTTGTAATCAAGAGATATTGAAATTAATTTATATCTTAAAGAAAGTCTCTGTAGCTTTCCTAATGATGAATAGGTTACGTGAATATTAAATTACCTACTAGCTGTGCCCACGACTTCGTTCGCGTGGAATAGTAATTTACTGCGCTTACCCCGAAGGTGATTGCATGATAATATGCAGCCTATATGTTGACCCGAACTGTTAGTAATAATCATGCAAAATTTGAAGTAAATCCATGCAGTACTTTTTTAGTTCATCCCGGATATACATACAGACAAACAGACATAAATTCTGATAACCATATTTTTGACTTCAGTATCGACCGTGGATCACGTCCCAAGTACTCTTTTAAAAAGATATTTAATGTACAGTCTTTACTTTTCTACGATTTTACTATATGTATAGATTTGTATACTAATTACATTGTTTTTATTTCCAGGACGATGCGTCAGTTCTGGCCGGCTTTTGTATTGTTCTTTCGAATGAGAATCATACCAAAGAAGACACATGACTTCTTCTACAACATCGTCACGACGGTGCTGAGGGCGCGGGAGAATGGTAACATCTTGGCTTACTTTTTTTTTATAGCATAAGCCGGTAAACGAACAGACGGATCACCTGATGGTAAGCAATCGGCGTCGCCCATGGACACCTGGAACACCTGAGGCGTTATAAGTGCGTTACCGGCCTTTTGGGGATTAGGAGTTTGAGGATCGTTAGGGATTCAGGAATTGGGGAAATTGGGGAAGGGGAGGGTAATTGGGACTCCGGTAACCTCACTCACACGACGAAACACAACGCCAGCGTTGCTTCACGTCGGTTTTTTGTGAGGCCGTGGTATCACTCCGTTCGAGTCGGCCCATTCGTGCCGAAGCATGGCTCTCCCACACTTGGTCTATTATTTGTATGGTTATCTATTATTGTTTGTCTAACTTAATATTTTTTTTATAAATTAAGTACCTTTAAAAAACCAACTTCAGTACCCTTTTATTCTGAAGTCGGTTAATTAATATACCTAATTAACCTTCTCTTATGTGTAACACAAAAACTTTTCTGAAAACCGCATCAAAATCGATTCAGCCAATTGTGAGATAATCGCACATACAAACATACATACATACAGGTCAAACTGTGAAACTCCTTTTTTTTGAAGTCGGTTAAAATGTAATTAAGAGATTTATATTGTAAACTAGCTACTTCCGCGCGGTTTCACATGTTCTGCTCAGCTCCTGTAGCCGTCTTGGATAAATGCTCTATCCAATACCAATAAAAGAATTATTCAATTCAGACTTGTAGTTACGGACATTAGCGCGTTCAAACAAACAAAAAAACAAACTCTTCCGCTTTATATAAGAGTATAAGATCTACTGACGTACCTAACTGTTTGACATTCGAAGAGGTAACTCTAGCAGCGCGGCAAGCGACGCCGTGAGGGCTTATGGGCCCCCGGTATGGCTTGTAATTACTCGAGTTGTCCAGTTTCGTTAGTAAGCTGTCTGTTACACCCAAAAGCTCACTCAGTAGATTAGAATAGTAATTCTAAAACTAAAAATTCTATCTTACTTCCATCCTGAGAAAACTGGTTCGTCCATTTTGTTCGTTCGCGTATAATAACTACATAGATAATACAATATTTATGATAAATTCAGTTTGTTTATTCATTATATTTGTTGTTTGTTAATTTATATATTGATTTCCCAGAGGTAACTCTGTTGGGAAGATCAAACAGCATCAGTTTGTTAATCGAAAATGTAATATTTAAACTGTTGGTTGTATATGTGGTTTATTGTGAACAGTGGGTACTATGACTCTGTTGGTCAAGTAGTAGTTATTGTCACTACGGGTTCAGAGATTCTGAGTTTTTATTATTCTATAAGAAGTATTCTAAATACTAGAAAACTATTAGTCACATCACGGTCAAGCAAGTAATAATAATAATAAATAATTTATTCAAAAATATAAACAGAAATTGTATATGTATGTCTTAATTCTATATTCTTATTGCTATGTTATGCCATGTGCCTGAACTAGGTTTGAAACCTGTACCTCAGGCAATAAAAACCGCTTAGCATAGAGAACTTAAGGTCTAATTAACAATAATTATATAATCGTTCTTATATCAAATTATTTGATTACTCAAATTATGCATATATATCCCTATTACCTATATATAGAAATGTATACCTATTCACTTAATAAATTAACTTGTTTCTAAGTAAATATCTATGATGAATCAAACTAACCAGATGAATACAATTGGAGTGTAATATTGAAATAGCTTTTTACTACATGCATATTTTTTCTGCGACATAATCTCTGAAATGGCTGGACCGATTTTGACGGGACTTTTATTAGCAGGTAGCTGATGTACTAAGTAACAGGCTACTTTTAATTTAGAAAAACGTAGACGAAGTTGCGGTTAAAGCTAATCTATTAATATGCTTAAGTTTATAGAAGTTATAGACGTATAACGCATGATTGATAATTTGCTAATACAAAAATTACAGGCGATCAAGAAAAGCGAGGGGATTTCATTGACATGATGATGGCGTTGAGGAATGATGAGTCCAACAATAATTGTAAGAAGGACCAAGAAGATGTCGAAATCAGTAAGTTTTTGTAGTCTATACCTGTATGTATAAAAATAAATCCGTATTCCATTGGTCACGTCATCACGCGTGACCGTCCTGAATCACAGAAATATTCATAAATAAGGCTTATATTTGAATTACTGAGTTATCGATGCCGCGTGTGTGCACTTATTTGTAGTATTGTTTTGTCAGAACTGTGTGTGTAAAATTAGTTTTATGGAGGGGCAGTTGTGGCTTCACCGGTTTTGCGTACATTTTTAACTCCACACCATATCTCCTTCTTTAATATATCTGTGGTCTGGACCGATTTGAATATTTTTTTTTGTTTTGTTTGTCAGAAAGTCTTTTTTTCTTTCGTTTTATTTAATAGTTTTTTAGTTAATTTTAAGTTGTAAATATTTATGTAGTTATGCATATTTAACTGCAAGTGAGACTACCGGGCAAGGAAACTTGGGTTCGCTTCCCGGGTCGGATGGTAGCACGGAGTCTGAATTGTGCCCGGTATATGGCAATATGCTCACCCCGTATTACATGGAACTCATAACATAAATTGTGAAAAGTGGGTGTTACATTGTGCAGCACCTCTGCCTATGCCTTTGGAGATAAAAGGCTTGATGTTATGTTATGTTATATATATTTAACTTTCTTTGTTGGACATACTTACTTTTGCATTCAGAATAATATAAGTTTATAATTGGGATTCAATGTTAAAATCTACCAATTTAATTAATCGACTACCAACTAATGTAACAAAATTCGTTCGCAGCTGACATGGTGATATCAGCAAATGCTTTCATCATCTTCCTTGGAGGGTTTGAGACGACATCTTCAACTCTAGCCTTCCTATTCCTGGAGCTAGCAGCCAACCAGCAGGTGCAAGAGAAGATGAGGGAAGAGATCAGGCAGGTCGTGGACAAACACGAAGGAAAGATCACGTATGAACTGCTGCAAGAGCTGGTGTATATGGAGATGGTGATTCAGGGTAAGATTGTGGGTGTTACATTGTACAGTGGCATTAAGTGCCGCAATGTGCGCCTCTGCCTTCGCGGATAAAAGGCGTGGTGTTATGTTCCATGGGGGTAGACAGAGACTATGGAATTTATTATGGTACTTATTACATTACATTGTATTCATGATAATACATCGTACACCTTCCGGACATACATAAGAACTAGACCTTACATTCTTCCGCTGTTTTCCGATCGTGTAGGTGCGTAATAAGTAATTAGTTTCAACACCACATTCACAAGTCTGTGACCCCAATTGGTTTGTTACTTGTAACCGGAAAAGTTTCTTTTAATGAGTTTTTACTTCTCTCCGAGTAATGGCCGACTGTTTGGTATTAAAAGAACCGTATCCCTTAAGCTGGCGTACCACAGACAGAAGTTACAGGTGTCAGGTGTAAAACTAGGTCGTTTTGGGAATTTATAGGAGCAGTGTAGTGTGGTGGAAGGTATGGTTGTGGGTATTAGCAGGTATGAATAATGAAAGGAGGTTAGGGGAGGTTTAGGTTTCGTAAAGCATGATAGATGCAGATGGCTTTCGACCGGCTAGTCTGGAAGTCATAAGGGCTCAAAGGAGGTTTATATTTTTAAAGATAGTCCGCGTGAAAAGAACCGAAACGATAGACTATTTAAACACCTTTTCTGAACGTGCAAAAATACAAGAAGTCAATCTCGAGAGTCTTATGTTATCGCAAATACTGTTAATTCCTTTTGAAAACTCGTCTATCTAACTTTCTATCTTAATTTTTATGGTATCGTTGTCTTCTTACAAATGTTGGCCATCATTAAGGCCACTTGCATTTTAAAAAGGTGTACTGGACTTATGAATCTCTCTCTTCTTTCCAGAAACTCTTCGCCTGTACCCTCCATTCCCGAGCATCCAGCGTATGTGTACCAAGGAGTACACAATCCCCGACACCAACATCGTGGTGGAGAGAGGGACTATAGTGCTGTTCCCAACGCTGGGCATACAGAGGGATGAACAGGTAAACCATTGTTTTATGTGCCGGTCCAACACTTTGTTCCCAAGTTTTATTCCGTGTAAGATTTCAGCTAAGAGTTACGTCGTATTCGCACGTATTCGTGCCGAGCTGTGCGCTTCTATTTATTTTTACCGACTTCTATTGGGCCTCCGGTAACCACGCTCACACGACGAAACACAACGCAAGCGTTGCTTCACGTCGGTTTTCTGTGAGGCCGTGGTACCAATACGGTTGAGCCGGCCCATTCGTGCCGAAGCATGGCTCTCCCACAATTAAAGCTAAAACGGGTTATTGAACCTATTATGGTGGAATTTTGAATGCCTAACACTAACATGGGACACAATCCTAGAGCGCGTGTTATTGCCGACTTCTATTCGAAAAGCAATCCCAGTTGGCAAGTCCTTCAGTGGTTTTACGGTTACTTGATCAACGAAACAATCTTTCAATTTTGAGTCATATTTATTAGTTTTCTATTAAAATTTCAATCATCTCATATCTGAGATATGTTAACAAATAACATTTCCACTTAAACTTTAATAGAGCTTGCCTTAAACTTAAAACCTTTAAAAAATACATCTTCAACAAGTCAATAATTGACAATGAATGACATCGATCATTTTAATCCAATATTCTTCAACGAAGATTAAAACATTTTCGTTATTTTATTACCTTGCAATAATTCGCTTGCAATAGCAAGCGAATTAGAAATAATTGTTTTGACAGTTCATTCATTCGATTCAATAAAATATGTAAAACTGCTACCTACGTGATCTGCAGTTTTATTGCAAATTGTGTAAACAACTTGAATTCGCGTTACGGTAGAATGTTTCGCCTTTTAAAGTACCTTAACAGTGCAAATTTTGAGGCTTAGGACGAGTTTTTTTTTCGTTAAAAGTAATCGTATAAGCCGGTAAACGAGCAGATCACCTGATGGTAAGCAATCGGCGTCGCCCATGGACACCCAGAACACCAGAGGCGTCACAAGAGCATTACCGGCCGGGGATTAGGAATATGAGGATTATTGGCGTTGCATTTATCAATGTAATTACATAAATATCTGTTATTTACCATGAATCAACGGTTTTGTAAAATAGCAGTTTTGAAATCTTAGGATCAATTAATTTTAAAACCGATAATCCCAATATATGACACTTGATGGAAATCGCTATAAAAAACTTGTCAAAAAATCATCACTCTCTTTAATTACTTTAGAGTTGAATATTGCTTAATGCGTGACACATGATACAATCGTGGCATACAATATTAAACCTACTATAATGTGTTAATAATGTTCTATTTCAATTACAGTACTTCGAGAACGCGTCTGCGTTTATTCCTGAGCGCTGGTCTGAAGGTAGCCCGCAGCCGCCGCCAGGAGTCTACATGCCCTTTGGAGACGGGCCGCGGTATTGTATAGGTATGTCATATTGTACATGTCGCTTCTCATGCATGAGGGCTCGAAACCTACCAACGGCAAGTACCAATGTGACTTTATCCGAGTTATATGTACTTTCTAATATTATCTAGACACCACTGACAGACGGTGAAGGAAAACATCGTGAGGAAACCTGGGCTTATAATTTCTAATTATTAATTATATTGCACGGTTGGCGCCGTGGTTGGGCAACTGGCTGCCGCGCAACGTGTCGCGGGTTCGATTCCCGCATGGAACAACTCTTTGTCTGTTCCACAGATTGTTGTTCCATGTATGTGAACTTATATGTTTGTTAACGCACGCATTAATCTTTGTGAGTGGAAATAAAAGAAGTTAGACTATAAGTACTTATATAACAATCTGCTTCGTTGGCCGAGTGGTCGCTATTGCGGCTACCGGGCAAGAGGTCTCGAGTTAAAATCCCGAGTCGAGCAAAGTATTAGTGGGGTTTTTAAAAATTCTCAGTAATAGCTCGAAATTTTGGAATTGTGCCTGGTATAATATGGTAACAGGCTCACCCCCCTATTGCATGAGACTCTTAGCATAAACAGTAAAAAGTGGGTGTTACATAGTACAGTGGCATTAAGTGCCGTAATGTGCACGTCTGCCAACTCTTTATTCACCTAAAGAGATAAGTATGTTAGCCAATTACCGCCACGGAATAGAGAGATTATGGTTTCGATCTTCAAGTGATAATATAACACATGAAAAAATCTAAAGACTTTTCTATTATCTACACTTTGTCGCGGAGATCCTAACGGGTTTCCGGGGCTCCGGCTCGACGTGCAGGAGAAGGAACGGGGTGGCTTTTAGTCAGTAAGAGTCTGACACTCCCACCCGCCTCACCCAAGCGGGAGCAGTCATTCAATGATTTTCCCCATTTAAAAAAAAATACCTACACTTTAAATACCACAACATGAATGAAATAAAAAAATGGCACCCATTCGTCCCAATTCCATATTATGCGCTGACTTCTCAGAAACTCGTAGTGTCAGCAAATAAACGTATTGCGTTACATCGCATTCAGTTCGGGTTGCATGTTTTAGCTGACGGTACTTACCCACTTGAGTTGAAGTGGCAATATGATACTTATTGCTACGTAAATAGAGGTCGGAATGTTTGTCACCGATTTTTATTGAACTTTAACCTTCTTCGGCTACAGTTTTGTTTATATAATCGGTATTAATAATATCATGAATGCGACAGTTTGTTTGTTAGACTGTGGAGCACAATGCACATTTGTATTAAATGCTATTCATATTTTTTATTTGAATATTATTTGGCTGTTTACACAATAAGTATAAAGTCATCGCACACCTAACAAGAACGGCTCCGACACGGCCCCAATCCGGCAATGTCATTGTTATCACTACATAGTATAAAACAAAGTCGCTATGTATGCTTAGATCTTTAAAACTACGCAACGGATTTTGATACCGTTTTTTTAATAGAGTGATTCTTAAAATATTTTAGTGTTAAAAATTGATTATACAATAATTTGATTTTATTTAAATAATTTAATAAAAATATTGATTGGAAAGTTTGTATGGATAATACATGCATGTTGCACACGTGCGAAGCCGGGGCGGTCGCTAGTTTAAATATAAACTCTAAATCGTATGCCGTTTGACATATTTCATAACGTCAATATAAAAAAACTGTAAGCCGCCCGCGCGTGGCCGTGCAATGGCCGTGCTTGGCCGTGCCGGAGTCGTGCCAGGGCCGTGCCCGAGCCGTGCTTATTATGTCTGCAATGACCTTAAGGCGTGTGGCGGCGCCACTCTCGCCGCGGCGTACTGTGTAGACAGAGACGTAGACAGCCTTAATAATGAATAATAATAATATACGCTAAAGCGTATATGCGATTGTGTGGTGTACAATAAATTGTACACCACACAATCGCATTACCGGATAATATTAACAAATATTAATATTAACAATTAGCCTTACATTCTGTTGAAATAAGAGACGACCTTCAAATAGGTAACGTAATAGGTGTAAGCCTATTGCTATATACCAGTATACCACACACAATTCTGAACTCAGTCCTGAAAATATAAAAAAAAAACCGAAATGTGCCCAACCTAAAAGTGCTGAGAATCAAACCAAAAGCCAGCAAACAAGTCAATAAACCTTATTCGTTCAACTCAATTGAATTCATAACATAACATCATGCCTTTTATTCCCGAAGGGGTAGGTAGAGGTGCACATTACAGTACGTAATGCCACTGTACAATGTAACACTCACTTTTCACTATATATGTTATGAGTCCCATGTAATAGGGGGTGAGCCTATTGCCATATACCGGGCAATACAATTAAATTCATGTCACTAAAAAAAATTATTATTATTTTCCTACTCCACAGGTAAAAGATTCGCCCTTATCCAAATGAAATGCTGTCTGCTACGAGTACTGCAGCACGTGAGGATTACTCCAGCTCCTCGTCCTGATGCTGCAGGGAAACTATCAGTCCAACCTCGACTGGAACCCTTCACTGCTGACCCTCGGTCCCCACTAACACTTCACCCCGCTGACAGCCTGGTGACTCTTAGCTTGTTATGACGAAATTCTGTCTTCGTTTATAGAGACCAGCACTTCAAGTATCTAAAGAATGTAAACCTTAACATTTAGTAAAAGAGTTGAAAATTGATTAAGTCAACTGACAGTCCAGCTTCGAGTTGATCCTTTCAATCCCTCGGTCCTCACTAACTCTTCATTCCGCTGATTCCCTGGTTGCTCTTACCCTGTAATGTCTTCCATAACAGGCTAAGAGCAACTTTACAACTTACGTAATAAAGTTTAAAGTCGATTCAACAAACAGTTTGGACTTAGTCTGCCGCTGTATGGATATCCTAAAGATTTTCAACTCTACTATTCAGATAGTAAAGTAAAAAATTAATTGAAGAAATACCTTTAGAATACTTTCTGCTGGTATGTGCACGATTTGAATATCTGTGACGATTTAAATTATGTCAATAAGTCAATTCTTTTTTCGTAATTATTATGTGAATGTTTCACGTTCCAAAATTAAAATAATAGCTGGGTTTCATGTAAAAAAAGTTTTTAATGCATCGATGGACCTACTTAGAGTTTTTTTTTTATTCATTATTATGACTTATGACATCTCGTCGGCTCTGCCTCGATGATTATAAAAGAATATTACTTTTTTATTGTTTGTTTCCATCATTTAATTTCGTTTTGTAAATAGTGAAATATAGTCTAGCTAAGAGCCAAATATTCATACTTTAGCATACTTATCTTTGAAAAAATAAAATGTCAAAATGTCTCTGTGTTCATAACTCTTGAACGACTGTACCAATTTTGATAATTCTGTGTTCATACAGAATATAGCCCTTGAAGTATCTTATACATTTACGAAGTCATGTCTTTTTATTAATAATTTGTTACTGAAATGATGAAAATGTAAATAAAAATTGTTTTCAGCCTGTATGTATTAGTATACGGCTTTGTTAAAATAAGGATTAGCTCATAAGTAATAGTTTTATTTGTATTTTCTTGACGTTTCTGTAAATAAACTGCTTTTTATCAAATACATAAATGATTTTTATTTCATTTTTAAATGGTTAATACGATCGCATCGTTATTCGAATGCCGTTATTAAAAACCAGTATTAACAGACCGTCGAATGTGCGGAAAGATCATACAAAGAGAGATCATGATAAAATGGTACGTATAGTTTGATATGTTACCCATAAGAAGGGATGCTCATTACGTTAACCGCTGTGTAGGTCAACGGTCCCCTACGTTAGCGGAGGATTTGCCTTCATTAGTTTTCTGTCAACAGTCAAAGGTTTAATGCCACGGTACAATGTAACACCCACTTTTCAATATTTATGTTGAGTCCCATGTAATAGGGGGTGAGCCTATTGGCTATTACCATATACCAGGCACAATCAATACTCCGTGCTACTAATGAGAATTTTATAAAACCCAGTGAAACTTTGCCCCACCCGGGAATCGAACCAGACACACCTTGCCCGGCAGTCGCACTTGCGACCACTCTCAGCCAAAGATCCAGACCAGTATAAACTGAACGATGAATGTATAGACAGATCATATAAAGTGAGACTACGATAAAACGGTTACTATAACTCGATGCGTATATTTGTTCGACAACACGTTCGATACAATACCCTGATCCGTTTATATCCTAACATAAATTCTAGTAAACACTAAGTTTAGTGCTAGACCTAACTATAAATCTAGAAAATCTCATTTTAGACCTTTATAGGGTCTCTTCTAACATTCGTTATGTCTATGTGGTGATATAGATGTTGATAAATAAATAAAGGTAATTTATTTTAGTGTAACATAACATAACATCACGCCTTTTATCCCCGAAGGGGTAGGCAGAGGTGCACACAGACGTAACACCCACTTTTCACTATTTATGTTGAGTCCCATGTAATAAGGGATGAGCCTATTGCCATACACCGGGCACAATTCCAGACTCCGTGCTACTACTGAGATTTTTTTTAAACCCAGTATAATTTGCCCGACCCGGGAATCGAACCCGAGACCCCTTGCCCGGCAGTCGCACTTGCGACCACTCGGCCAACGAGGCAGTTATTTAAGTGTATGTATTATTTATTTGGTATGTATGGGCAGTGTAATTATGTATGTATTGGTTTGATTATTATTGTACACTGGACGACCCTCTTTTTTCCCAACTCCTGATTACTGGCTCCATCCAAAGGTTGTCTGTAAGAAATTCCATTCTGCAATAAGACCGCCCATTGTACACATTTCTTTATTTTTACTTTTCTCTGTAAGTTTTTATGGTGTTTTTTTTTATAGAATAAGCCAGTAAACGAGCAGATGGTAAGCAATCGGCGTCGCCCATGGACACCTGGAACACCAGATGCGTTACAAGTGCGTTACCGGCCTATTGGGAATTTGAGGATTGTGGAGGATTCGAGGATTCGGGAGACTCGGGAGGGGGGTAATTGGGCCTTCGGTTACCTCACTCACATGACGAAACACAACGCAAGCGTTGCTTCACGTCAGTTTTCTGTACGGCGGTACAATAAAGTGTAAATAAATAAAAAATAAATAAGGATTTATATTGACGAGGGATGTAACGTCAGTTTTAGTAGTTCATTTGAATAGTAATTTGTTTTAGGTTAAGTTGACGACGCCGGCGAGCATGTATGAAAAGACTGATGACTATTGATCAAGCGAAAGAGGTATGTAAGAATCGTTGCAATTGGCGTTCCACAGTCTCGGCCTACCCATGGAAGACAGGTGTGAGGTTATGTATGTTTTTTTGTATTATTAATATTAAGTTAATTTAACTTTGTCACGCGTGCCGCTAGTGAATTATGATTATGGGTCCCTGACCTAGCTTGAATTGAAACTAGTTGAGTGATCCGTCAGACATTTATGTGAGCTACTTTTATCAACTCCTTTGTTATTTCTAGTGCAAAGAAGCAAGTATAATGTTTCGGTTTAGGGTAAGTAGTATTTTCACAGAGATAATAAATAAGTGCTTAAATTGAATCCAAACCCTCGGCAGGTAAGCTAGCAACTACTGGACTATCGAGGTCACACAATATGCAAGAATTAAACAAAAATATTGCCATGGCATGGCTAACAGAAATGCATATGTCTGCACGACACATACGGTGTAAAGTTTCAGAAACACAAACTAAGCACAGTAAGCATCTAATCAAGAAGTATGACATTCAATAATAGATCTTAAGAATATTTTGTTTAAGGTATATAATTCTGGAACACTACATGGCGGTTTGAACTTTTTATCACTTTAAAATGACCCTTTATAAAGGAGGAGTACACCAAATAATTTTATAATATTTTTTACATTTGACTGAGTCACGTGTGGACGGTTCAAGTGATATTTATCCTTAAAACTTATAGACAGAAGATTGATTTTAGTATATAATTCATCGGTTTATAATATCTTCTATTTTTGTTGGTTATTATTTGTTACATTTTTTTTAATTGTTTGCTGTTCGAAAATTTGAAAAAGGAATTCGAAGGACATGATTGATGGTGAGTTATTTTTTTTATTCTGTTACTGCCATGTAGTGTAGCAATGGAACTTTATTAATAATTTCCGTGTTGTTTTGTATCATGTTTGTCAGTTATTAGGTATCCTGTTTGTTTTTAAAAAGATTTCTATGTATATTACAATCTCTTTATACTTTTTTTTGTAACTCATACTAACACAATGAAATTCAATACCAGAAATTCATGCAATTTTTTATCCTAGTTTATAAAATTATCTTCGCGAATGTTTTCATCTGTTGTTTGTATTGGGAACTATCTTTTGTTTCGTAAAAAGAAAAAAATATACCTTATACTTACACCTATAAAAAAAGTATTTACATATTTGGTGTGGAGGACTTAGTGGGAGGCCTTTATCCAGCTGTCGACGTCTTCTGGCTGTTGATGATGATAATTGATAATAGGGTAGATGACTAATTTTTAATTTAAACTGTCAAACACCGCGAGGACACCGGCGACCGAAACCTATTGTTCTTTAATTGTGTCTATAATGACGGTACTCAAAGGGTCCCTGTCTGGTAGATTATTTAAAAAATTAGACACGTATTTTTTCGTATTTTTTATTATCTTACGGAAACGAATAGTTTCGACAATATATTATAGGTATTGATTTGAAATATCGCATGACGTCAGTTTTGAGTACGATTTATACTCTAAAATGACGTAGACTCTGAATCTTTGATTCGTTTTATCTAAGTATTATTTTCTTATACGACAAAATAAAAAATACGTGTCTAATATTTTTTCATTGCCTAACTGACGGACTAATTACATTTTTAATTTTCATACACTGTCATCATCCCTATTATCTACGTACATATTTCTATACCATCAACATAAAAAGACGTAATGTACCCGTATACCCCCAAGCGGTCACCGTTGACCGCTCTCCACTAACTACATTATAGGCCTTATGTCCAATACTTAGAGACTACTTTTGTATGAATAAATTTAGCGGATGATTTTCAACAATTTTAAACGGGTGTATTACGTAAGGTCACAGAAAACGATTTACTTATTCAACCATTTCAAGAGTAATTTCATTACGCTTTGGTTTTCATTCATGAGATGGGTTGCAGTGATTCATAATAAGATACGGTGTGATCATCAATCATTTGGCTATCCTCAACTTGTCTATCAGAGTACCTAGTGTGAGCATTTTTTACTTTAACGTGATCGAATGGTTCTGATTGGTTAGTGAATTGAAGCCGACCAATCAGAGCGCAGAACTGCATGAACTAGGACCTTCAGATTATAACCAGAATATAAGTATTTGATATACTTTAATACTAGCTTTCGATCTCAACATTGAAGGAGCTGCACACAAAATCCCCGTTGTTTCAATAGGAATTTTGTTTTTTTTTGAGGGGGGATTATCATTGTATGTCTGCTCCCGCCTGGGTGAGGCGGGAGGGAGTGTCAGACTCTTACTGACTAAAAACCACCCCGTTCCTTCTCCTGCACGTCGAGCCGGAGCCCCGATAACTCGTTAAGTTCTCCGCGGCCGAATTTCA